CAAATTTTTACTACCAGTATAATAAAAATAGAGAATTCAGTAAATAATATAATAAGTGCAATTTAAATATACTCAAATAAACTTACTAATTTGATAATTTAAAAATAATTAACTGAATTAAATTTTTAAAATTATTTTTAGGTAATTACATCTTAATTTGTGTTATAATAATACACTATAGTAATATTAAAAAAAAATGTTCTAATTTAAATANACAGCAGTTAAATGACCTAGTACACGTCCATGAAATTCTACATTAGAAAACTTTGATAAGGGCAACAAGTATCTTTTGTTAACTGGGCCTGATGATTCTCTACCATATAATATTTTAACTGAAAAATAAAAAAGTAACAATATAATTAGAATACAGTTGTGAAAATAATAACAAATTTTTACTACCAGTATAATAAAAATAGAGAATTCAGTAAATAATATAATAAGTGCAATTTAAATATACTCAAATAAAATAACTTACCAATATTTTGACCACGGTTATGTATTGGAGGTAAGGGTAGAGTATTATGTTGACGAGTAAAACAATCAGTTATTGATAAATATTTTCGTTTCTCTGTAAAATAGATATACAGTTCAATTAGTAAATAACAATTTGTATGATAAACTAAAAACTAAAAAATAAAATAATTGATTCATTTTGTATTTACCAGTTTTAAATTTTAAAATACAAGTAAAATTAACATTAATTAAAAAGGGCATTGATAAAAATTTAAAGATAAACCTACTTTGAGAATGAACAAGTGAGAAACTTCCTTTTCCAAGTAAAGAAAAAACAACAGGTACTGGAGATTTATCATAATTGCTTAAGGCTTTAATTTTTTGGCATATTTCTAGTAAGTGATTTGATTTTATATGATCATATTTTCTTTCCTAAAAACAATTTCATGTTATAATTTACTGGATTTTACTATTTTGTTGTAAATATTTAATTTTTGAACTATTTTTAATAATATTACAGATTAATTATTAAATAATAAATACTCAATAACTTCATTTTAAAAATATTAATATATCTTGATTACCAATTCATCAAATGTTTGTCTGTTTTCTTTGCCTAAAAAATCAATTCGTGTAGGTAATACCTACAAAAAAAAAATTTTATATATATTATAAACTAATTTAAGTTGAAAATAATTTTAACTTTTCATCTTACATCAGTTTCATTTAAGTCCAATTTCAGAGCCTGTAACAATATTAAAATAATTGAATATGATAATGTAGAAGAGTTTTTAAATTATAAATTATACAGAATTTAAAATACAGTAGATATTAAATCAACTTACTTCAAAGGCATTTTTGAATTGACTTTCTTTTAAGAACTTGGCTATCAAAAAGAATAACTCTAAAATAACCCATATTAATCAATGAGTAAATGAAAATAAAATCAACAAGTAGTTAATAAAACCAATTGAGTATGTTTTTACCAGATTTAATGCTATTATTTTGCTCTTCAGCTTTTTCTGTAATTTCGTCCATTAGATTTTTTAATTAATTTAAAGAATTTGTCATATTAACGATACAAAAAGAACTTAATACTAATATAATCAAATTACTAATTATTATTAATTTGCAAAATACACATTAAAAATAATATCTATGGTATGATAATTGAAAAAAAGAGATAATTGAATTTGAAATTAAAAAATTATTGTAAAAATTTATAAACATAAACAAAAGCCATAACAGATATTATATCACTTAAAAAGTTAATTTGTGGTAAATGATTTAAGGATATTATCATTTTCAACTTTACTGTTGAAGTTATATTTCTATTTTTTTTTGTAATAGAATTAATACCGCGGTTATAGTGGTAAAGAGAGTGATAAATCAAATCTCAAGTAATAGATAGTTGTGCATTCATATTGGCGGGAAAATTTTTTTTGTTCATGGTTATGCTCTATAGATATCCTATATACCGATATTTAATTTATTTTAAAAAATAACGTCAAGATATCAGTAAAATCTAATTCTTTTCCTTGATTTTTTTCTTTATATAAGTTTATCATTATCTAAGTATAATTTTAGAATTCAATTTTTTTTAATACATGCCTAATACCTTGATATTTATTTTGAAAAAATGAGTGACACACCGGGTAAGTTAAATTAAGATTTATATCAAATTTATAATCAGTCAGTTCCTTTGTTGATAAATTAAATTTTATTTAAAAGAATCGTCTAGACCCAAAAGACAGAAAGCTGGTCATACGAGTCGTTTTGAAGCACTAGCAAAACTAAAAAAATTGAAATCAGATGGAGTTAAAAACAAATATGAAGTTGAAGAAGTGCAAAATGTTTATGAAGAAATTTCTGAAAAAGAATATACAGAAAGAGTTATTAAACGTCAACAAGACAATTGGATAGTGGATGATTGTAAAATTATGGTTATTTTAAGTATTAGTGTTTAATTAAATGTTAAACTTATATTATTGATTAGATGATGTTGAAGGATATGTAGAAGATGGTAGGGAAATATTTGATGATGATTTAGATGAAGAATCTATTGTTAAAGAAGAAAAAAAAGGTAGAGGTAAAAAAAGAAGCAGGTTAGAAACATCAGCTCATGAAGATACATCATCATATCGAGATATCCAAAAAATGATTAGTAATATGCCTGTAAAAAAAAAGAAAGAGGTATAAATCTTTATGGATTGTACATTACTGATATCTTATCTGGTGTCTCTCCATTTTGTTACTTTTAAGCTAACATTTTAACATGTTTTATAACAATAAATTAAAAAAAATTTTTTAAAATGAGTGTTAAAACATGAAATCATGAAATAATTTAAAACTTCTTGGCTTTGCATAGAAGCTGATTGTGTATTTAACTTTTCTTGACCATTTTTTTAAACATTTGTGAAAAACAAGTATTTTGTAACAATATATAATTTTGATCTTGAGTTGAATCATAAAACTTATTTATCTTGATTAACTCTTTCGATAAAATCTATTTATTATTTAATTTTTAATAATCATTCATCATATATATATATATATATATATATATAAATGTAAAGATATTTACAAGGACTGATATTGAATTTCTTAATAAAAAAATCTTACATATACTTTATACATCATACTATGTATTATGTGTAAACAAATATTTTTAGGTTTAAATATTAATGTATACATCTACTCAGTATTTAGATTAACAAAAGAATAAATTATTNCAAATATTTTTAGGTTTAAATATTAATGTATATATCTACTCAGTATTTAGATTAACAAAAGAATAAATTATTTTCTTTAGGTTCCAGTTAATTTAGATGATGATAATATTCTAGGAGATTTAATTCAAGAGATAGATTCACCTATGCCTGGTGTATCAAAAACATCTCGTACGATTCATAATAAAGTTGCTGAAAAAATAAAAAGAGATAGTCAAACAAGGTNACCTACAAAAAAAAAAAAAAGAAAGAAATTTATATATATTATAAACTAATTCAAGTTGAAAATAATTTTAACTTCTCATCTTACATCAGTTTCATTTAAGTCCAATTGCAGAGCCTGTAACAATATTAAAATAATTGAATATGATAATGTAGAAGAGTTTTTAAATTATAAGTTATACAAAATTTATAATACAGTAGATATTAAATCAACTTACTTCAAAGGCATTATTGAATTGACTTTCTTTTAAGAACTTGGCTATCAAAAAGAATAACTCTAAAATAACCCATATTAATCATTGAGTAAATTAAAATAAAATCAACAAGTAGTTAATAAAACCAATTGAATATGTTTTTACCAGATTTAATGCTATTATTTTGCTCTTCAGCTTTTTCTGTAATTTCGTCCATTAGATTTTTTAATTAATTTAAAGAATTTGTCATATTAACGATACTAAAAGAACTTAACACTAATATAATCAAATTACTAATTATTATTAATTTGCAAAATACACATTAAAAATAATATCTATGGTATGATAATTGAAAAAAAGAGATAATTGAATTTGAAATTAAAAAATTATTGTAAAAACTTATAAACATAAACAAAAGCCATAACAGATATTATATCACTTAAAAAGTTAATTTGTGGTAAATGATTTAAGGATATTATCATTTTCAACTTTACTGTTGAAGTTATATTTCTATTTTTTTTTGTAATAGAATTAATACCGCGGTTATAGTGGTAAAGAGAGTGATAAATCAAATCTCAAGTAATAGATAGTTGTGCATTCATATTGGCGGGAAAATTTTTTTTGTTCATGGTTATGCTCTATAGATATCCTATATACCGATATTTAATTTATTTTAAAAAATAACGTCAAGATATCAGTAAAATCTAATTCTTTTCCTTGATTTTTTTCTTTATATAAGTTTATCATTATCTAAGTATAATTTTAGAATTCAATTTTTTTTAATACATGCCTAATACCTTGATATTTATTTTGAAAAAATGAGTGACACACCGGGTAAGTTAAATTAAGATTTATATCAAATTTATAATCAGTCAGTTCCTTTGTTGATAAATTAAATTTTATTTAAAAGAATCGTCTAGACCCAAAAGACAGAAAGCTGGTCATACGAGTCGTTTTGAAGCACTAGCAAAACTAAAAAAATTGAAATCAGATGGAGTTAAAAACAAATATGAAGTTGAAGAAGTGCAAAATGTTTATGAAGAAATTTCTGAAAAAGAATATACAGAAAGAGTTATTAAACGTCAACAAGACAATTGGATAGTGGATGATTGTAAAATTATGGTTATTTTAATATTAGTGTTTTATTAAATGTTAAACTTATATTATTGATTAGATGATGTTGAAGGATATGTAGAAGATGGTAGGGAAATATTTGATGATGATTTAGATGAAGAATCTATTGTTAAAGAAGAAAAAAAAGGTAGAGGTAAAAAAAGAAGCAGGTTAGAAACATCAGCTCATGAAGATACATCATCATATCGAGATATCCAAAAAATGATTAGTAATATGCCTGTAAAAAAAAAGAAAGAGGTATAAATCTTTATGGATTGTACATTACTGATATCTTATCTGGTGTCTCTCCATTTTGTTACTTTTAAGCTAACATTTTAACATGTTTTATAACAATAAATTAAAAAAAATTTTTTAAAATGAGTGTTAAAACATGAAATCATGAAATAATTTAAAACTTCTTGGCTTTGCATAGAAGCTGATTGTGTATTTAACTTTTCTTGACCATTTTTTTAAACATTTGTGAAAAACAAGTATTTTGTAACAATATATAATTTTGATCTTGAGTTGAATCATAAAACTTATTTATCTTGATTAACTCTTTCGATAAAATCTATTTATTATTTAATTTTTAATAATCATTCATCATATATATATATATATATATATATATAAATGTAAAGATATTTACAAGGACTGATATTGAATTTCTTAATAAAAAAATCTTACATATACTTTATACATCATACTATGTATTATGTGTAAACAAATATTTTTAGGTTTAAATATTAATGTATACATCTACTCAGTATTTAGATTAACAAAAGAATAAATTATTTTCTTTAGGTTCCAGTTAATTTAGATGATGATGATATTTTAGGTGATTTAATTCAAGAGATAGATTCACCTATGCCTGGTGTATCAAAAACATCTCGTACGATTCATAATAAAGTTGCTGAAAAAATAAAAAGAGATAGTCAAACAAGGTACTTTTTTTTTTAAATATAGAGTGATTAATTAATTATATTTCACACAATATAGAAGACTAGTAGAAGACATTATTTTTTTCTTTTGAGAAATTAAATAGTATCATATGTTTTATATTTAAAAAATTTGGTCCTATCCTCTCGTCTTTCTTTTAAATTAGTATTTATCTAAGGTTTAAATGAAAACATATGTTTAACTAGCTTAAAAATAAGGAAATTATGTAACTAAAAAAATGATCAAATGGTTAACAAACTTTTTAATTTATATTTTATTAGCACTATTATAATGATTAAAGGTGAAGTGCGAGTATGTTTATTTTTATCTCTAGACATTTATGAACTATATTATCCCTCCCACCCTAATATAGAATTGTTAATATATTTTAAAATACTAGTTTAAAAATTGTTATCAATCAATATTTTTTTTAGTTGGATTATTTCCTTATTTTTAAGTTGGGTACATATATGTTTCCATTTTAAAAATTTAATTTGGTCTTTCTCTACCTCTTCTTTCTTCAACATTCATTTCTACAACCGTTCTTACAGCTTTCAATGCTTCTCTCCTCATAACATGACTAAACCATCCAAGTTTATTTTCTTTCATGTTATCCATGATTGATGCTACACCTATACTCCTTCTTATATGTTCGTTCCTTANTAAGGATATTATCATTTTCAACTTTACTGTTGAAGTTATATTTCTATTTTTTTTTGTAATAGAATTAATACCGCGGTTATAGTGGTAAAGAGAGTGATAAATCAAATCTCAAGTAATAGATAGTTGTGCATTCATATTGGCGGGAAAATTTTTTTTGTTCATGGTTATGCTCTATAGATATCCTATATACCGATATTTAATTTATTTTAAAAAATAACGTCAAGATATCAGTAAAATCTAATTCTTTTCCTTGATTTTTTTCTTTATANTATCTTCTCTAGTCACTCCACTCATCCATCTAAGCATTTTCATCTCTGCTACACTCATTTTCTGCTCTACTTTCTTATCAACCACCCAACATTCTGAATCATACATCATAGCTGGTCTCACTACAGTCTTGTAGAATTTACCTTTCAGTCTCATTGGAATTCTTTTATTGCATAAGACATCAGACGCTTCTCTCCACTTCATCCACCCAATCTTGTGTCTTACATCCTCGNTATAAGTTTATCATTATCTAAGTATAATTTTAGAATTCAATTTTTTTTAATACATGCCTAATACCTTGATATTTATTTTGAAAAAATGAGTGACACACCGGGTAAGTTAAATTAAGATTTATATCAAATTTATAATCAGTCAGTTCCTTTGTTGATAAATTAAATTTTATTTAAAAGAATCGTCTAGACCCAAAAGACAGAAAGCTGGTCATACGAGTCGTTTTGAAGCACTAGCAAAACTAAAAAAATTGAAATCAGATGGAGTTAAAAACAAATATGAAGTTGAAGAAGTGCAAAATGTTTATGAAGAAATTTCTGAAAAAGAATATACAGAAAGAGTTATTAAACGTCAACAAGACAATTGGATAGTGGATGATTGTAAAATTATGGTTATTTTAAGTATTAGTGTTTAATTAAATGTTAAACTTATATTATTGATTAGATGATGTTGAAGGATATGTAGAAGATGGTAGGGAAATATTTGATGATGATTTAGATGAAGAATCTATTGTTAAAGAAGAAAAAAAAGGTAGAGGTAAAAAAAGAAGCAGGTTAGAAACATCAGCTCATGAAGATACATCATCATATCAAGATATCCAAAAAATGATTAGTAATATGCCTGTAAAAAAAAAGAAAGAGGTATAAATCTTTATGGATTGTACATTACTGATATCTTATCTGGTGTCTCTCCATTTTGTTACTTTTAAGCTGACATTTTAACATGTTTTATAACAATAATAAATTCTAAAAAAAATTTTAAAATGGGTGTTAAAACATGAAATTCATGANCCATTTTTTTAAACATTTGTGAAAAACAAGTATTTTGTAACAATATATAATTTTGATCTTGAGTTGAATCATAAAACTTATTTATCTTGATTAACTCTTTCGATAAAATCTATTTATTATTTAATTTTTAATAATCATTCATCATATATATATATATATATATATATAAATGTAAAGATATTTACAAGGACTGATATTGAATTTCTTAATAAAAAAATCTTACATATACTTTATACATCATACTATGTATTATGTGTAAACAAATATTTTTAGGTTTAAATATTAATGTATACATCTACTCAGTATTTAGATTAACAAAAGAATAAATTATTTTCTTTAGGTTCCAGTTAATTTAGATGATGATGATATTTTAGGTGATTTAATTCAAGAGATAGATTCACCTATGCCTGGTGTATCAAAAACATCTCGTACGATTCATAATAAAGTTGCTGAAAAAATAAAAAGAGATAGTCAAACAAGGTACTTTTTTTTTTAAATATAGAGTGATTAATTAATTATATTTCACACAATATAGAAGACTAGTAGAAGACATTATTTTTTTCTTTTGAGAAATTAAATAGTATCATATGTTTTATATTTAAAAAATTTGGTCCTATCCTCTCGTCTTTCTTTTAAATTAGTATTTATCTAAGGTTTAAATGAAAACATATGTTTAACTAGCTTAAAAATAAGGAAATTATGTAACTAAAAAAATGATCAAATGGTTAACAAACTTTTTAATTTATATTTTATTAGCACTATTATAATGATTAAAGGTGAAGTGCGAGTATGTTTATTTTTATCTCTAGACATTTATGAACTATATTATCCCTCCCACCCTAATATAGAATTGTTAATATATTTTAAAATACTAGTTTAAAAATTGTTATCAATCAATATTTTTTTTAGTTGGATTATTTCCTTATTTTTAAGTTGGGTACATATATGTTTCCATTTTAAAAATTTAATTTGGTCTTTCTCTACCTCTTCTTTCTTCAACATTCATTTCTACAACCGTTCTTACAGCTTTCAATGCTTCTCTCCTCATAACATGACTAAACCATCCAAGTTTATTTTCTTTCATGTTATCCATGATTGATGCTACACCTATACTCCTTCTTATATGTTCGTTCCTTATATCTTCTCTAGTCACTCCACTCATCCATCTAAGCATTTTCATCTCTGCTACACTCATTTTCTGCTCTACTTTCTTATCAACCACCCAACATTCTGAATCATACATCATAGCTGGTCTCACTACAGTCTTGTAGAATTTACCTTTCAGTCTCATTGGAATTCTTTTATTGCATAAGACATCAGACGCTTCTCTCCACTTCATCCACCCAATCTTGTGTCTTACATCCTCGTCAATACCACCGCTCTTTTGCACAAAAAAAAAAACTTAATTTGGTACTATTTTAAAATAGAGAGAAGGGAGATAAGGCCAAATTATTTTTGAAATTCATAGAACATGAGATACTATTAACTTTTTAAAAAAAAAAATGATGATTTGTTTTATATTTTTAAAGATATTGTGTGAGGCATATTTAATTAATCCCCATGTATGTAATAAAGTAATATAAATTTAATAGTATTGTAATTTTAGAGGATATTTAGAATCATTTTGTACTGCTGTAAAATCTGTTCGAACTCTTACTTCCAATATTAAAATGGAAAACAGTTCAATTGAAAAAATAGAAAATGAATCCCCAAAGTCTATTGTAAACTCTTCAATTATTGAAAATAAAAGACAAAATTTAAAATCGCCAACATTAAAAAATATTCAAGTATTGAAATTAAAATTTTATAATTATATTTATAAAAATTAAATAATGTACAGGATTATTCACTTATTATAAACCATTTAATTAAACAATAAATTAAAATAATAATTTTTATTTTTTTTTTTAGTTCAATGTTTCTCAATCTTTCAAAGTTTTTTTTATGTTCATCTCTTATCTCTTATAAGAGTGTCACCTTTAATTTTTTGAATGGTAACATCCCTAATTAACTAGCATATTTAATACATAATGATCTAATTAAGAAAATGATTGAACAATTTAATGTAAGGACTGGAGGTGAAAATTAAAGTTGATACCCTTATAAGTGATGAACATAAAAATCTTAATGATTGAAAAATTGAGAGAAACATTGAAATAAAAAAAATAAAAATAATTACTATTATTTTTATTTATTGATTAATTAAATGATTTATGATAAGTGAATCACTTTGTATGTATTTATTGTTAGTTTAATCAAACTGGTAATGAATTAAAAAATGATGAAATTACTGTGGTAAAAGACGAACCAATAGACAATGATTTTAGTGACTGTATTGAAGATTTTGACTTTGGCGNGAAATAAAAAAAATAAAAATAATTACTATTATTTTTATTTATCGATTAATTAAATGATTCATGATAAGTGAATCACTTTGTATGTATTTATTGTTAGTTTAATCAAACTGGTAATGAATTAAAAAATGATGAAATTATTGTGGTAAAAGACGAACCAATAGACAATGATTTTAGTGACTGCATTGAAGATTTTGACTTTGGCGAAGCAATTGAAGTAAAGTATTATTTTTAAATTATTTTTGCCTAAATATGATAAGGATATTATGTATATATTTAGGCAGAAAAAAGTTTTGTAGAATCTTCAGAAACAATTGTCAAAAATGAATCTGTTGAGATAGAAGCAAAGATCCCCTTTAATTTTGAAGAAACAAACTGGCCTATTGAAGAGTAAGAAAACTTCTTTATTTATAAAACTGTGAATCATTGTTTGATTAAGTCAGCTATTTATATTTTAATTTATTTAAGAAATATTCTCAATATAAACTTAATATTAACAAAAAAATATTGGATGTTTCCTTAACAAATTTAATAGTTAATTCAAAAATTAAAAATTACTTAAAATATAAAAAAATTATTTATGATAAATTAAACACAAATGCCAAAAACTAGTTTGTGTTAGTAAATAATGTTAGTTTATTAGTATAAATCTTTTTAATAATGTAATATTAAACTTCAACAATAAGTATCTAATTTGTGGCATTCTATGATGCAATAAAGGATATATCCAACATTTTCAAACAATTTAATATAGAATTGAAGTTTTTTGAAAATCTGTAGTTATGTTTGTTATATATGTAAATCCTATAATAAATAATATTTTATAGCGTTAAAGAAGAAGAACAAATTGCTCTACCACAGAATATTACTACTAAATTACCATTGACAACTGACAAAAGTGGAGCTCAGGTAACTATTTAAATTTATTGAATTTAGCATGTCAAACTATCTTTCTGTCTCTAATTTACTAAATTACTAAATATACTTGTATTAATTTCGTACAGAGCTTTGAACCTGAATTAACCCAATAATAGATGTTTAATATCATATTATAATTTTTCTGTAGTTTGGAAGGCTTAAATCCCTATCCTGAGTATAAATTACATTAGATATTTAACTAAAATAATTTAGTTTGATAAGACTTTATATCTGAATTAACCCTATATTTGATTCCATACAATAAATATATAAATGGTAAAATTGAAAACTATATAATATTGTTACTAAAAAAGATTCAAATTGGTATTTAAAAAAATACTAAGTTATAAAGATTTATAAAAGTCTGTAACTAATACCCCTTAAAGGATGAGCTAAAAGTTTTATAATTTAAGTTTTATAACCTAAATTATAAAACCTGTTGGTCAATCTATTATTAAATTTTAGATTTAAAAATTATTATTTTATTATTTCAGGTGTATCGATTTTTTTATTTAGATGCATTTGAAGATGTTTATAAACAACCGGGTGTTGTTTTTCTCTTTGGTAAAGTTAAACCTGCTGGTGTTGACATTTATGTGAGTTGCTGTGTAATAGTTAAAAATATTGATAGAAGGATGTTTCTTCTACCTAGAAGCAAAGTAATATTTTGGAATAAATAAATAAAATAAACTATTATGGAATAATTAAATAAATAAATATAATTTTGATACTACTTACTTTTTTTTCATCATAGGCCTTAGATACAGATGAAGANTCATCATAGGCCTTGGATACAGATGAAGAAGTAAAAATGGTTGATGTTTATAATGAGTTTAACAGTTTAACTGAAAAATATAAGATACAAAATTTTAAATCTCGTAAAACGATTAAAAAATATGCATTTGAACTTGCTGATGTTGCTGATGAGAGTGAATATTTAGAAATCAGATATTCAGTTAGTATAATAAGCACTTTTATTTAGNTTAACAAATTTAATAGTTAATTCAAAAATTAAAAATTACTTAAAATATAAAAAAAATATTTATGATAAATTAAACACAAATGGCAAAAACTAGTTTGTGTTAGTAAATAATATTAGTCTATTAGTATAAATCTTTTTAATAATATAATATTAAACTTCAACAATAAGTATCTAATTTGTGTCATTCTATGATGCAATAAAGGATATATCCAACATTTTCAAACAATTTAATATAGAATTGAAATTTTTTGAAAATCTGTAGTTATGTTTGTTATATATGTAAATCCTATAATAAATAATATTTTATAGCATTAAAGAAGAAGAACAAATTTCTCTACCACAGAATATTACTACTAAATTACCATTGACAACTGACAAAAATGGAGCTCAGGTAACTATTTAAATTTATTAAATTTAGCATGTGAAACTATCTTTCTGCCTCTAATTTACTAAATTACTAAATATACTTGTATCAATTTCGTACAGAGCTTTGAACCTGAATTAACCCAATAATAGATGTTTAATATCATATTATGATTTTTCTGTAGTTTGGAAGGCTTAAATCCCTATCCTGAGTATAAATTACATTAGATATTTAACTAAAATAATTTAGTTTGACAAGACTTTATATCTGAATTAACCCTATATTTGATTCCATATAATAAATATATAAATGGTAAAATTCAAAACTATATAATATTGTTACTAAAAAAGATTCAAATTGGTATTTTTTTAAATACCAAGTTATAAAGATTTATAAAAGTCTGTAACTAATACCCCTTAAAAGATGAGCTAAAAATTTTATAATTTAAGTTTTATAACCTAAATTATAAAACCTGTTGGTCAATCTATTATTAAATTTTAGATTAGAATTATTATACTTAAAATTATTATTTTATTATTTTAGGTCTATCGATTTTTTTATTTAGATGCATTTGAAGATGTTTATAAACAACCGGGTGTTGTTTTTCTTTTTGGTAAAGTTAAACCTGCTGGTGTTGACATTTATGTGAGTTGCTGTGTAATAGTTAAAAATATTGATAGAAGGATGTTTCTTCTACCTAGAAGCAAAGTAATATTTTGGAATAAATAAATAAAATAAACTATTATGGAATAATTAAATAAATAAATATAATTTTGATACTACTTACTTTTTTTTCATCATAGGCCTTAGATACAGATGAAGANTGACACTACTTACTTTTTTTTCATCATAGGCCTTGGATACGGATGAAGAAGTAAAAATGGTTGATGTTTATAATGAGTTTAACAGTTTAACTGAAAAATATAAGATACAAAATTTTAAATCTCGTAAAACAATTAAAAAATATGCATTTGAACTTGCTGATGTTGCTGATGAAAGTGAATATTTAGAAATCAGATATTCAGTCAGTATAATAAACACTTTTATTTAGTGACCCCTCAACTAATAAATTTATAACATATTATTAAAGGCAGCCTATTCTCCTCTACCTGAAGATTTAAATGGGAATACTTTTAGTAGAGTATTTGGAACTAACACCTCATTTTTAGAATTGTTACTTCTTGATCAGAAGATTAAAGGTCCTTGCTGGTTAGATATAAAAAGTCCTCAGTTATCAAATAATCCTATAAGTTGGTGTAAATTTGAAGTAAGATTATATATATATATACAGAGTGTTCAGTAAGTAAGAAAACAGATCAATTGTTACAAACATTGATCACAATAGAAACCCTGACTACTTACTGAACACTCTATATACATATTTTACATGGTCATTCATTTACAGATAAATTGTATGGACATGAAGAATATTCAGTTAGCACCCACAGCTCCTCCCCCTCCTATGGTTATTATGACACTGAATCCAAGAATTGTTTATAATAAAAAGACAAAACAAAATGAAATTTTAATGATTACTTGTATGATACATTCAAGTTTCCCTATTGATCAAGCACCACCTACTCCTCATCACAACCAATTCTTTTGTGGTAATATTATAATTTTTTTATTATTAAACATTGTATTTTCATTAATTTATTTATTAGCTTTTACTCGACCTATCAATATTCCATGGCCACCACGTTATCAAGAAGAATTTAAAAAATGTGGTGATCCAACTAATATAGTAAAAATGGATTCAGAAAGAGCATTATTAACTTATTTTTTAGCTAAGATGTCTAAAGTTGACCCCGATATTATTATTGGACATGATATTTGTAGTTATATATTAGCATCACTTGTGAATCGCTTAGAAAGTAATAAAATACAAAATTGGTCTAAAATTGGTCGTCTTCGTAGAACAATGTTTCCTAAAAAAGTATGGATAAATTCATTAAATTTAATTATATTCTATTACTTTTCTTTTTTTATCAGGGAAAATTCATAAGCGAAAAAAATATTCTTAGTGGACGTTTAATTTGTGACACTCAAATTTCTGCTAAAGAATTGATTAGAGCAAGAAGTTATGATTTATATACTTTATGTGAACAAGTTAGTTAAAATTTATTATGTTAATTGATTTTTAAACATATAATTGCTTATTTGTGATGTTATACCTGATTTTTAAGATTGAACAAAAGCTTACAAACTTTTTATATATCAATAGAGTTTGAATGGAACTGAACAATCAAAATATTTGATTAAATTTGAACTGAATATTAATATTAATCATTTTCAGGCAAAATATTTTTTATGTCATTCTTTAGCAAATTGAACATGATCTTTTTGAACTTACTAGATTTATTTTCAAAACNTTGAACATGATCTTTTTGATCTTACTAGATTTATTTTCAAAAAAAATTTTTCCTTTGTAAATCACTTTGAAAATAAAACTGAACAGTTAGAACATCACTATTACTTACTACCATTTTAATATACTAATCCAAATAAATTATTTAATATGGAATTTAATAAATAAGTTTCTTATTAAAATGTTTAAGATTTTGAATGTTAAAGAAAATCAACAGTTAAATTTATCTGATGAAGAAGTTAGTTATATGTATTGGTAAGCTTTAATTCTACTTTTAAATTTAATTTAATATCAAAGTCATTTTAATCGTAAAAATAATATTGTTTAATTTTTTCTTGATTTATTAATAGTTCTGCTGAAGCTTTAATACAACTAATTAAATTTACAATTATGGATACTTCTTGTATATTACGACTTATGGTACAAATGAATGTATTACCATTAGCTCTTCAAATTACTAAAATAGCTGGAAACTTAATGTCGAGAACTCTTATTGGTGGACGTGCTGAAAGGAATGAATTTTTACTATTGCATGCTTTTAACGAAAAAGATTTTATTCTACCAGATAAACTATACAAGAAAAAAACAATTTCTAAAGTATTAAAAATTTTACTATGGTGTTCATATGTTTTTTTATTTAATTTTTGGCTTGAATAGGATGAAGATGATGTAATTGGAGAAGGAGACAATACCAAAAAAACTAGTCGTAAAAAAGCTCAGTATTTAGGTGGTCTTGTACTAGAACCTAAAGTTGGTTTTTATGATAAAATGATTCTACTTATGGATTTTAATTCCTTGTACCCAAGCATAATACAAGAGTATAATATATGTTTTACAACTGTTAGTTTTCGAACTCTTGNTTTTTTAGTTTTTTTAAACTATATTTATTTATGTTAATGTCATTTCAACGAGTAAACTTAAGAATACAATTTTATAAATATCTAATTTAAACAATTAAACAAATAAAAAATTTCTAAAGTGTTACATAAGTTTAAAAAATCTTTGTTTGTAGTACATTTAATTTCAGAATTAAGGAAAAAAAATTTTTTATTGAATTATTTTGATTTTACACATGTTATATTAGTCTATTGACTCACAAAATTTACTTCTTAGATAAAAGCGGAAGTTAATAAAATTTATAAACAAGTTGAATTAGACATTGATGGAGTTTTCAAGTACATGCTACTTTTAAAGAAAAAAAAGTATGCTGCTATTTCCATTTCAAAATTACCATCAGGAGATTTTATCACTAAGGAAGAAATAAAAGGTTTAGATATTGTCAGAAGAGATTGGTCACAACTATCTCAAGAAGCTGGACGGTAATTTAATTCTTTTTTTTATGGCCTTTGAGACTATTTTGCCGTAGAACAAATCCTCCCCCATTCTTCTCTATTTTCCGCTGCCTCCATAATCCCCTCTAGCATTTAGGAAATCATTTTTGATTCCATCTTCCCAGCGTAGCCATGGTCTATCCAGTGGTCTTTTGCTCCTTGGGTTTTCTTAGAGCACTCTTTGAATCATTGAATCTTACTTTCTACATACGTTTCCTGTCCATTTCAACTTACTACGTTTGATCTCGTTACAAATACTTGGTCTATTGAATATCTCCATCAATTCTTGATTGTGTCTCTCTCTCCACTTTTAAAAATCTTGATCATATACGAGTCCGTATATTTTGCAGATAATTTATTAAGAATACTACCCTCTTTTTTTTTGTTGAATAATATTTAATAAAAATGTACAGATTATAATTTGATTTATTTTTGTGAACCCTAGTAAACACCCAGATTATTGTAAGAAAATATTATTCNGATGATTAATTCAAATTGTGTCGACTATGATCAAGTCATGAAAATTGGATATAAAGTAAGTTAAGTTTAAAATATAAAATATTATTTTTTATGTTAATGTCATTTCAATAAGTAAACTTAAGAAAATTTGATAAATATCTAATTTAAACATGATTGAAATAAAAAATTTCTTAAGTGTTACATAAGTTTAAAAAATCTTTGTTTGTAGTATATTTAATTTCAGAATTAAGGAAAAAAAAATTTTTATTGAATTATTTTGATTTTACACATGTTATGTTAGTCTATTGACTCACAAAATTAACTTCTTAGATAAAAGCGGAAGTTAATAAAATTTACAAACAAGTTGAATTAGACATTGATGGAGTTTTCAAGTACATGCTACTTTTAAAGAAAAAAAAGTATGCTGCTATTTCTATTTCAAAATTACCATCAGGAGATTTTATCACTAAGGAAGAAATAAAAGGTTTAGATATTGTCAGAAGAGATTGGTCACAACTATCTCAAGAAGCTGGACGGTAATTTAATTCATTTTTTTTTTTTTTTATGGCCTTTGAGACTATTTTGCCGTAGAACAAATCCTCCCCCGTTCTTCTCTATTTTTCGCTGCTTCCTTCCAATCCATGCCTCCATAATCCCCTCTAACATTTAGGAAATCATTTTTGATTCCATCTTCCCAGCGTAGCCTTGGTCTATCCAGTGGTCTTTTGCTCCATGGGTTTTCTAGGAGCATTCTTTGAACCATTGAATTTTGCTTTCTACAAACGTTTCCAGCCCATTTCAACTTACTACGTTTGATCTCGTTACAAATACTTGGTCTATTGAATATCTCCATCAGTTCTTGGTTGTGTCTCTTTCTCCACCCTTGAAAATCTTGATCATATACAAGTCCGTATATTTTGCGGATAATTTATTAAGAATACTACCCTCTTTTTTTTGTTGAATAATATTTAATAAAAATGTACAGATTATAATTTGATTTATTTTTGTGAACCATAGTAAACACCCAGATTATTGTAAGAAAATATTATTTCTAAAAGTAGATTTTAAGGGTAAATTTCGAAAATTAAATGGGAACCTGAAATTATTGTTTTACTGTTAAGTGGGAAATAGAATTAAATAACATTATTGTATTGATAACTTTTAAGATATTAGCATTTGAGGTTTAAAAAAGATGAGGAGTAAGATAGTCTTAAGCGGTGCTTTATTTTTTTCATAACACAAAGATAAAAATTATCCTGTAGCTTGCCCCATTCACTTATTACAAAAAAATATATTAACTAAAAAGAAATATTACAAATTAAAAATCATTATTCAACAAAAAAAGGGTAGTATTCTTAATAAATTGTATATATACAGATTGAAGAGATCTAACTGACAAATCTTATAACTTTTAATCTACTTATACTTTTCATTTTTAAATCAATTTTTAGAGAATTAGGCTACACTTTAAATTTATTATTAATTTTTATCTATTATATAAAAATTTTTTTTGGAGATTTCAAAATAACTATTTTATAGATAGTTTTACAGCAAAATTTTAATGCTATGAACTTTCATTTTAATTCAGAATTTTGAAGTTTGTTTATTGATANTTACAAATACTTGGTCTATTGAATATCTCCATCAGTTCTTGGTTGTGTCTCTTTCTCCACCCTTGAAAATCTTGATCATATACAAGTCCGTATATTTTGCGGATAATTTATTAAGAATACTACCCTCTTTTTTTTGTTGAATAATATTTAATAAAAATGTACAGATTATAATTTGATTTATTTTTGTGAACCATAGTAAACACCCAGATTATTGTAAGAAAATATTATTTCTAAAAGTAGATTTTAAGGGTAAATTTCGAAAATTAAATGGGAACCTGAAATTATTGTTTTACTGTTAAGTGGGAAATAGAATTAAATAACATTATTGTATTGATAACTTTTAAGATATTAGCATTTGAGGTTTAAAAAAGATGAGGAGTAAGATAGTCTTAAGCGGTGCTTTATTTTTTTCATAACACAAAGATAAAAATTATCCTGTAGCTTGCCCCATTCACTTATTACAAAAAAATATATTAACTAAAAAGAAATATTACAAATTAAAAATCATTATTCAACAAAAAAAGGGTAGTATTCTTAATAAATTGTATATATACAGATTGAAGAGATCTAACTGACAAATCTTATAACTTTTAATCTACTTATACTTTTCATTTTTAAATAAATTTTTAGAGAATTAGGCTACACTTTAAATTTATTATTAACTTTTTTTCTATTATATAAAAAATTTTTTTGGAGATTTCAAAATAACTATTTTATAGATAGTTTTAAAGCAAAATTTTAATGCTATGAACTTTCATTTTAATTCAGAATTTTGAANGCCTAGAGCAAAAGGCGGTGCCGTGTCAAGTTATTACAAGATGTCTATCTTAAAATCTAAAAAAATGTTAAATAAAAATTTATTTATTTTTATTTTTATATAATAGGAAAAAAGTCTGTAAAAATTGATTAAAAAAAAAGAAAAAGTGAAAAACGTTAGTAGATCAAAAATTATATTTATTAAATATGTACATAAATTTTTTTTTTTTGTAAATTTTTACACTTTATAGTGTTTTATTTTAATAGATTTGTTTTAAGACAAATTCTGTCTGATCAAACTCCTGAAGAAAGAGTAGCTAATATTTTTGCACAATTAGAAAAACTTAGAGTAGATTTAGATGAAAATAACGTTCCTCTATCATTGTTGGCAATTAGCAAAACATTAACTAAAGCTCCTCAAGATTATCAAGATGTAAAAGCACTACCACATGTAGCAGTGGCTCAACGGCTAAATAAGCAGAGCATGAAATTTAGACAAGGTGATACCATTTCCTATGTTGTATGTGAGGTGGGTTTTAAGTTATAGTAATTACATTAATTAGAAAATAAAACAAAAAAAATTAATTTGATTATTTCATAGGATGGTACAAATTTGGCGCCAACCCAAAGGGTTTACCATGTAGACGAATTAAAAACCAATGATGCTCTAAAAATAGATGTAAAATATTATTTATCTCAACAAATTCATCCTGTTATAATGCGCCTTTGTGCACCATTGGAAGACATTGATGCAAAAATGATAGCTGAGAATCTAGGTAATATTTTCAATATTAATTTTTTTATTTTAAAGTTTACAGAAACATTTAATTACATAACAGGTCTTGACCCATCTCAATACCATAACTATAAATCAAGTTCATCAAAAGATATAATTGAAGAAAATACTATTGATCTAGATGATGCTACACGTTATAATGATTGTGATAAGTAAGACAATGAGTTAAATTATATTGAGGGGTAAACTACAATAAACGCTGATGTAAAATTAGGTTAAAAATTGTAGAAAGTATGGGGTTATGTATTACATAAATATACTCTTAACTCATTTAAAATCATATATTAATTAATTAAATGTAATTGGAAGTTAAGTATAATAATTTTTGTTTGCATTGTTTACCCCACAATTATTTCATTACTCAATTTATAATTATAAAACTAATTTTAATTATATTTTATTTTTTAAGGTTTACTTTTGCTTGTCTTGGTTGTAAAAGTGAAATTGAGATAAATGCTCCTGCCATAAAAAAAGTAATATTAGTTTCTTAATTATTAATTTAATTTACGTATTTCACTAATATTAGTTTTTTTTTTTGTCCATTTTATTAATTACTCATGTTGAATTAATCAAGTAGTGTTAAATTAAGGACTATCAAGAGTTTTAATGGTGTGTTTTACTATTACAACATTTTAAATTAAAATTTTTTTTAACACAATAGTATTAAATATATTACTAGCTAAAAATATTATTAAATATTTTTTTTAGACTGATGGTACTTTAGAATTCTCTTTAGAGAGTTGTTCTAACACAGAGTGTTCCATTCCTCCTTATAAATATGTTGGATTGCTTGAAACTTGTTTGTGGGTAGCTATAAGGAAACACATGATGAAGTATTATAAGGTATGATTAATGAATGATTTTTTTTTCATAGATTTGGTTTATAACATCTAATATATGATATAAGTTCATTTACTAATTAAAAAAGTATATTATGTACTAATTAATTGATTTAATTGATTTTAAGAGTGATTATGTTTGTGATGATAGTGAATGTGATTATAAAAGTAAACTAAGTCCTCGTATAAATGATGAAATTTGTCCACAGTGTGATTCTGGTACATTAAAAAAGGAAGTAAGTGTTATATATAGAGTGACTTATTTATTTCTCCTAAAATAATTTTGAAAAAAAAAATTTTTTTTGTTAGTATTTCATTTTTGATTTTTGAGTGGTTAAATATTTTTTAGTTCTTTTGCTTATCAGTTTATCGATCAGTCATTTTCTCAGTTAGATCATTTTTAATATATGAATTATATTAGAACTTATAAGTCAGTATTTCAAGAGTTATTAACATTTTTAAATATAGGCTGGATAGGTGTGACGTATGTTATTTTTATCATGACTCATCTTTGCCCCACTATTTCTCTCACCCACATATAAAAATATTCATAACTCCTGAACTACTATTGGTAGAAAAATTGTAATAAACCAGTCATTTTTTTAATGGGATCATTTTCTATTATATGAATTAGATAAATATTTATGCTAAAAAAATAAAATTGGTACTCATAAGAAATAAAAAATGATAGATCTAAAAATATTTAACCACACAAATACCAAAATTAAATAGTACATAAGTCAACTAAAAAAAATTTCCTAAATATTTTTTATTTTAGAAGAACTTCAACAATAAATCAATCATTTTGTATATCAACTTAATTTTTCATACCTAAAAATAATATTGCAATTATCTGAATGTATTATCTAAATATTAACATTAATACTATTATTTTATAATCAATTTTTCAGTATTCTGCTGGTCAGTTGTTATTTCAACTAAGATATTATTTGTTTATATTTGATATTGATAAAGTACTTCAAAGGAATAAGGACATAAAATTAAATAATGATAGCATATTATACATGGTTTATAGCCGATTAAAATTACAAGTAGAAAAAGTACTTAAACATCATGATTTTTACTATGTTAATTTAAAAGATATATTTGGTAAACACTAAGATGCTCATTAAACTTCATTTTTTATTTGATCTTTAACATTATTAAATTCACAAGCATATATTTTTATACAAATGAAGAAAATTATTTTTATAATTTTATAGGTGATAAATAATTTTTAATCATGAAAAGTTGTATTGCTAATAGTGAATTGTAAATAAAATTGTAGTTTATAATTATTATTTATTTTTATGTATTGCATTAAAATATTTTCATATTTTAAATTTTATTTTCTTATATTAAATTTGTATCATTAATATAAGTTTTAGATGATTCAATATATTTATTGACTAATTTATATGATAAGTTTATTGTTTAATATATCCTCTTGTTTTATATTTAAATGTTTTTTTATCTTTATTTGTAAGTATCCTAGTACATAATATGCTTATGTAATTTCAAAAAAAAAATATGTGCCCAATAATTATTTAATAATAATGAATAAAAAGTTTTTTATTTCAACTAATTACATTTAAACATTATTGTATCTTATTTATGTTATAAATAATTCAAGTTAATTTGTGAGAGAAAGTAATGTCTAGATAGTAAGATACTTGCGCCTCATTTTCAGTTTGTTGGCATATTTTTCTTTATTTTATGAATAAATAATATTAATTTTATGTAAGAAGTATAAAATATTGATAAATTAAGAAAATATTCATATAAATTATATTTTTATTATTGTTTTTACACATTTCAATATTATACATAATAAATAAATAAATAAAAATTTTTTATACCAATATGATATTTAGAGCAACAAAAATAATTACATTTTACAAATACTTTGTAAAAATAACATTTCTAAAATAGCTTTCTTAGTTAACTTGATGATTATTAGAAGCAATTTCTGTGGGACGTAGTTCCTACAAACAGATATAACATTCATATTTTAATTTAAAAAAAATGAGCAAAAATATGAAGTTACCATTTTTACTGAATCTTGTTTGAAAAACATTCCACGTTTCCTTAATTGTTTAGCAACAAATGGTGCAAATAATTCTGGTTCGATAAAATTATTGGGATCACGAAATATTGCACTAACTATCATACCAACTAATAGTGTTGCAGCAAATCCTAATACTATATAGTACATGTAACTTATACGATACAAGTATAAGTAACCATCTTCTGGCCTAAATTATAGTATTCATGAGTTAAACACAAAAAAATGCTCACTTTTTTAATAACATTACTCTTTATTAATAAACAAAGATGAGCCATTTATACTTGAAAAAGTATTATTTAATACTAAGCAAGAATTTGTGTATGTAGGTAAATTTTTAGTAGGAGGTTTAGGTCCACCAAATCCTAGAACAAAAGAAAATATTAGACCTGTTATGAGACCCATCATTGAACCCTGAAAATAAAAATAAATTATTAAGTTTATAGTAACATATCCTTAAAAAACAGTTAAATTTAATTTTACTTGCTTTTTGATTAACATAAGGTACAAGAACTCCAAGAGTAAAAACAGCTAAAACAGGTCCTCCAACAACACCAAAAATAGTTAGAGAAGTTTGTAGAATCGAGCCAAAATATTTTGCTAAGAAAGCTAGTAGAATGCATATACTACCATAAAGAATAACCAACAATTTCATGCTATAAACTTTCTTTTTATCTGATATTTCAGTCCTTGTTAATGGCTAAAACAGATTAAATCAATTTATTAATTAAATTACTTTTTTATTATATAATTATTGTTTTATAGAGTATATAATATAAATTATAAAATAAGTATTTTTTTTTTTTTAATAAGTATGTTTATTTGTCATAACATTGTAAGACACTCTGTATAATAAATAAATTTTAAAAAGTTTTTTTATTAAGTTAGGGATTCAAAGAAATATTTTGACATTTTAACAATAGATTTAATTAAAAAATTAACCAGGTATATCTAGAATAATAATAATGATAATAAGCCCTTGAGTATTACTTTTATGTAATCTTCCATTGTAACAGCAGCTAGAGAATTGAGTACTGGTGAGACTGAACTTAGGCCTGAAGAAAATATACCTGCTACAAATAATCCGGTTAATCCAGGAATATTACCCATAGTATCTAACACATATAAAGTCATCAACTGATCCTCTTTAGAAATGCGTCCCGCTCTTCAAAATACAATAGTAATTTTTAAATTAATTTACATAAATATAAGGTATTATATTTAAAAAATTATCTACTTGATTGGATCACAATTGTAATATTTTGAATATATAGCTAGCCCTGATAAACACGTGGAAAGTGATAATAATGAGAGAATAGGAACGCTTAACCATAATGATTTAACTGCTGTACGATAATCTTTCATAGTAAGATATCTTTGTACTTGGGTTTGATTAATTGCATAGAGGGATACATAAGTAAACATTCCTCCAAGTACTAAACTAAAAAAACTATGCCTTTCAGTTGGATCGATATTAAAGCTGAAAAGTTAATTTAACAAAAAAATTACTAAACATAAATTTTTTAATAGTTAAACTAATTATTAAATTCAAATTTGAATTTGAATTGTATTCTTATTTATCTATTTATATTTTAATGATATCAATATTAAAAATACACATTATATTTTTTTATTCAAATAAGATGTTAAATTTAAAGATTAAATGTATAATTAAATAGTCATATACTATTACAATATATTATTTTATTAAAAAATATTAAATATTTTTTTAAAATAATATTAATATTATACATCTTAGTATTGTTTAATTTGATAAAGTTGTATGTAAAGTGATAAACATACTTAGTAAATTCTATACGATCATATTTTCTAGCTATTTCCCAAATTTCAGAAACACCACCGGTTTCATAAATTGCAACACCAATAACAGCGTATATAGAAGCAAACATAAGGATTGCCTGAATTTGTGTGTATATATAAATAAAATAACATAACAATGATATGAATATGATAAAGCTTTCGTGGTATATTGTATTATTTAGGATACTTACAAATATGGATCTGTAAATATTATAAATAAAAACAATAATAAACTGTGTGTAATAGAAAATTAATTACTTGAAAAAGATCTGTTATAATAACAGCTTTAATTCCTCCAATTGTTGAATAGAACACACAAACTAAACCAACTAATAAAATAGAAGTATCTTGAGAAAGACCTGTAACAGCTTCTAATGCTAAAGCTGGAGCATACAGTACTATTGCCATGTAAAGTATCATTTGTAAACTAAATGCTAATGATGTAGTAATTCTAGTCCAACTTCCAAATCGTTTTTCTAAATACTAAACAATAAGAAAAAAAAAATTCTTTATGCATACATTATTAATTGCTAGTATACCTTTAAACTATTACTTCATAAACTGATAAATTTCCTAGTTTAAAAAATACTGGTAAAAAAATGTATGCTATTATAGGAGTTCCAATTAAATAGCCAATATTAATAACTGCAAATTGAGTACCGCGACTATAATTTTCAGCACTTAATCCAAACAATGAAATAGCAGACATAAAACTAGCCATTAAAGAAAATGCAACAGGTATGGCACTTTGATTTTTATTTCCTAACATGTATTCCTAAAAAAAATTATAGTATTAAACCTATACAACTAGAAAAACAATTTTTTTATTTAAAAAAAAATTAAAGTTTACTAACTTGAGTGGTCTTTTGTTTACCACCTGTAAATCTATAATATATGCCAATTGACGAAGATATCATAAGCATTAAGCCAAAGACTATATAGTCTGTTATTCCAAGTGCCATTTTAAAATATTTTTACTCGTTTAATCCAATGTTATTTATAGTACTACTAAAATACCCTAAACATTTTAAAATTTATTCATTTAACATATTAAAATAAATTTCACAATAAGAAAAGGAAAGTTTGAATAAAATATTTGTAATAGGTCTTAAGTCAATAATATATTGTTAAAAAATTATTTTCATCTTTACTTTTTGCTACAAGAGATAGAATTTTTAACATTTCATAAAAATATGGAAATTATAAAATTAAAAAAAATTTAATTGAGCATTACCTATATGATTTATATTTATTTATTTATTGATAGTCAGAGAAGATCTTACTAAAATATATAAAATACATTTTTTTAATTTATTTATAATTCGAACATTTGATAACTCCTGAAATAGTTTTTAAAGAATCTTATATAATTAGCTTTATTAGGCTAGTTGTTAACATATTAAGTACACCAAATTAACATAAATATTACCTTTAATATTAATTTATATTTTATGACTGGTAGATAGCAAAAATAATATCAATAGAAATGNATAGCAAAAATAATATCAATAGGAATTAATAAAGATTGTTAAATAATAAAGAACTAGATTAATTGTATTAATAATACAATAATAAAAACCAAGTGTTAAGCTGATATATAAAATATAACTTGTCAAACAAATCAGCTAAGACAACGATATGGTCAATTAGGAAGTGCTCTTCATTCTAAACTATTGGCGACAATGTCTTAATGAGATCAAAATGGTTATTGAAGATTTTATAGATAAGATTATCTACAACTATTTAAATGATAAATTGGAAAGATCATTGTATAATTAAAATTAATTATTCTTAATAACTACACAGCTAAATTATAAAATAATAATTTACATTTAAATAAAACGGGCAAAACTATTAATGAGAGCGTTTTATCTAAGCCAATAAAATTTAAGTTTTATCAGTAAAGGTCAACATAGCGGTAGAAAACGAATACGGGTTGACCGGCATTCTTATCATTATAATTATTAATATTATTATGATAAGAATGCCGGTTATAGCTAATTACTTTTTAAATACTTTTTTTTTAGTGCAATTTTTCTCATTTTCATCCAAATAAATAATAAAAGCTCGAATATTGTTGCCATATTATCTTAAAAAAAAGTAAAGTTGCATTAAAAAAAGTTGCTTAAAATTAATTGTTCTAAGAAAAATTACTTAAGTATTGATTATATATATTTTTAGTATTTAGTAGAGTAAGGTAAGTAAGATGGTGAGGTTTAGCTTCAACGATTTTTCATAATTTCTTTAAATGGATTTAAAATTTGAAATTTGTATGAGAATCATGAACCAAAATAAAATGGGCTGGACATGTCATGGTCGGCGGGAACGGGAGTGCGATTAGGTTTTGTTACAAAAATTTCGTAAAGAGAGAATATTCAAGCAAAAAAAAAATGTCATGTTTAAATTTTAATGCAGTTTTTAAAATGTATTATTTTGTGTAATCATCCCTTTTTAAGTTTTCAAACTCAGGATCTTCTATTGTTGAGATTATTTAAACTTGGGGCACGCGCATGAAGCTATTCGGAATACGTGTAAGTCCAATAGATTATATATTTTTTACAATACTTTTGATTTTAATTAAAGTCGTAGGACTGAAGTAATTAGTGTACTTTCGGAAATCTTTATTCCTCATTTTTTAAAAAAATTTATATTATATGAGGTTAAATTAAAATTTATATGAATTTAATAATTTTATGAATTATGAAAAAATTTGCTTAAGTTTTTTGTATACCTTTTATATTATTTCAAACAGTTTTTAACTTATTATAAATAATAATAATAATATATTTATGAACATCATAATATAATTAAATGTTAACTTAATTTTTTCTAAATGTTATAAAGCATTCAATAGTTATAATATTAACATTGTCATAAAATGGATTGTAATTACTTCATTTTCAGCATTTCATTTTGAACAAATAAAAAGGGTACTCTTTGTCTTTCCAAAAAAAGTAAAGAAATAGATCCCATGTCCTCAAGTCGAACATTAAAAATGTTAGGTACAGGTGCAAAGATTAAATTACCATAGTATTGTTAAGAAATCTTGTACTGTTGGTGGCTTTATATTAAAAAATTTTTCTTACATACTGACATTATTTCATCATGGTTAAAAGATAATACTGTACTTAGGATCTTATATATTTTAGTGTATTTATATTTGTATATTTTTATATTTGTGTATTTTAGCTGAGAATAACTAATTGGTTATTAACAATTTACTGAATCAAACATGATTCAGTAAATTACTAGCTTTTATAAATAATAATTATTATTACCAATATTATTATTACTTTTGGTTCATTATAATTTCTATGTCAATACAAAAATAATATAAGAAATAATTTTCAATATTGAATAAAAGATGTACAATGTTTAATTTTTTCGTTAGTACCTATCATTATAAATAAAATAATTTTAACTTTATCGTTAATTTAATTTTAACACTTAATTCTTCTTCTTTTTTCTCGCTTTAATCTCAGCTACTTGGGTCAGCCAGCCTTATCCTATACTTCCACTTGATACGATCTCCCACATCATCTACGCTGACATTAGTCGTCCTAATATCGCATTCAATAACATTCCTCCATCTCTTTTTTGGTATTTCTCTACCACTTTTAACTTTAACATTCATTTTTATAACTGTTCTCACAATTTCCGATTTCCGAAGTTTATTTTCTTTCATCTTATCCATAATTAAATCTACACCTATACTCCACCTTATATGTTCGTTTCTTATCCTATCTTCTCTAGTCACTCCACTCATCCATCTAAGCAATCTAATCTCTGCTCTACATTCTTGTATTATCACTTAATTACGTAAAAAAAAAAAATATAATTGTATACTGAACTATTGTATTCAAAACAGATAAAACAATCCAATTTATTTTTCCATTTTCAAAATATTTATATGTGCTTAAAATTTTGCAGTATAATTTTAAGTGATATAAATATAAAAAATCCAAAGCTCAATATTATTTAGTGTTTTTATACTTGTACCAGAATTACAATAAATTATGATTTCCCATTTAATTAATATGAAATCGTATTATACAGAATATTCAGTAAGTAAAGAAACAAGTCAATTTTTACAAACAATAAGAACAATAGAAACCCGTTTTCTTACTTACTGAACATTCTATATACTAGAGCAAGGAAAAAAATGCCTTTCTATGTACAATAAATTACTTATAAAGAAAACAATTATGTTAAGTACAAGAAAACATTTTGATTATGGTAGCAATAAGTTGGCCTAAAAGTATTATATCATTGATTTTTTTATTAAACTGAAGATTTCTGTCAAACTTGAACTTTTATCTTGAGCTGAATACATTTTTATTTTTGATACTGAGAGTGTTGCATTTAATAAGTTAAGGGACACAGAAACCAAATGTTTAACAGAAAATTTGAAACACACCCTTTATTGATAGTCTTAATAATAGAGCTCGAAAAAATTTGGATCATGAAATTTATTATGAAACTCTATAAGTCTCTATTATAGATATATTTGATGAAAAAAAAAGATACGTGTATATTTTGTAAAAAAATTCTGTGATAAAATCAGATTTTGAAAATGTCAACAATTTAATTAGTTATTATAAAAAAGCATTGGAAAATAGTAGAATTGTAACATAAAATTAAATAAAAATACATAAATATTTTACACGAATTATTTTAGTTATATATTATAATTATTATTATTATTATTATCATCATTATCATATTATTATAATTATCTATTTAAACTTTTTCTTTTGGGAATAGTTTTCACGTTTTTATTTCCAATTAAAGTCCACACAAAATAACCCATCATAAATTTTATTCATTTTCCTAAGTATCTTTCCATTGAGGCGACATCCTAATGGATATTATATTATAATTATATTAATATTTATATTATATTAATTATATTATTGATATTATTACAAATTTACCTAAAATATAATTTTTTTGAAAATAATAAGAAAAAATACTCCACCTATATTGATATAGTTTTAATGATAAGTGTATTTAATCATTACAGGAATTTACAACACAGATTCGTCTTGGGAGCTAGAGCTATTGGTTGGTACATAAGGATTTGTTCGCCACCGGGTTCCTGCTAAAGCGCTAAGCCCATATGACTAATAATAAAAAATAACAATAAATTTCAATGATAGATTTCTAACCATAAAAAAAAGAAAGATTACCATTCATCTAATTAATATGTTTTTTTCTGTATGATATGATTTTCAGATGTATAAATTCATATTTAAATTCAATCAGACGTCCTTTTTATTATTCCTTTTTAAATTTTAACTTTTAAACTATGACACGACTTACGTAGCAAAAAAAAACCAAATGCTATTTTTGTGTGAAAATTTCGATTTTAAATTTTACTTTTTTAACTTTATAATACTATAACTTATTGAAAAGTTACAAATACACATATTTTTTTCATTTTTTAACAATATTAAATGTAAAATCTATATTTAAAATTTTATAAACAAATATTGTTCATACTCTTTGTAATTATCATATTAAGCGATTAGAAAGTTTATAACAAAAATAACTGTACATATATTAAAAGAATGAATTAAAATAATTGTATGGTACAGAACACCTTTAGAAGGATCTAGTTGATCAGTTGTTACACAGATCATTGATTATATTATTTCGTGGAACAGCTGATCACCAGCATCTTGCTTTACTCACCCCCTTGCCCACCCATCATGTCAAATCGATGACCTCCGTGTCGATTGTCATCCGTGTACAGTTCTTTTTCGTAAGTCAGTCAGTCATTTGTTTTTTTTTGTGTGTCACTATTTTTCTGTTGCAAGCGCCTTCGCTTGAATAGTAAATTGTTCGGCCATTGTACGCCGTTATTTTTTTATTTGTTTATTGCATTCTTGTGCTCAAAATTTTCGTACCCTTGCACACCACTAGTGACCATCACTAAATATCTTCATTGCCGTAGTCGCTTTTTCGCGGTCTGTTCTCATCTGCCATTACGTACTTGGATTTACACTCTGACTCGTCATACTCAAATGTTTGACACCATTACCACAAGATCTCATACAGTCCACTCGTCACTATCAACAACGTCATCGATACAGCTAAGTTTTATATTATTTTTAATGTTATTTATTGTTTGTTTTAATTGAGATTAACTATTTTGTTTTATGCCGCTTCTCCGGCCATTAGTATTTAAGGGCCCCCCGTTACCCCTTAAATTTAAGATACTCTCTGAGGAATTTCTAATATATGTGATTATTTGTTATTTAATTATTGTCTATTCTCGTTTACTTATTGGATGTATAATTAGCCGTCGTCTCCTAGGTGACCCACTCCCACATCAATATTAACGTTTTATTAAACAGGTTTAAGGTAAAACGGCATTCTAGTGCGGTGCACAACTAGCCGTCCTACGGTCTAGCTGCCTCGTACACATCAATAATATTTTTCAGATAATTTTGATTTAGATATAGTGTTTATATTAATTAATTTATTTGATTGCGTTTAATAAAATAAACAATGCATTTGATTATATTAATGTATTGTTTATCCATATTCTACAAATTACTTACACACATGATGTCTTAAGAATAATCTTACTTCAATTTTTTATTTGTACATGTTTGTAAAACAAATCTGTACAGATATTTAATATTTCCATTCCCATCTACAAAGGAAATGACATCTCCATGATTTAAAATTTGATAATCATTTTGGTCAATAGGAATTTGCACACAATTTACATAAGTTTCATTATCTGTTCCCTGTAGTACAGATATTGTTGATCAACTTAGAATTAATTATTCTCTTTGATAGCTAAATTAATATAAACATGCAGTAAAAATTTTAAGTCTTACATTGTGAGAAATAATATATTGGTCATTGGATTTCTTTATAAAACAATGTCGTCGTGCTATAGAATTTTCATCAATTACAAGTGAACAGGCAGGAGAACGTCCAATAACAAACTGAAGAGTTATAATATATCAATTTAACCATTTTAAAGAAAAATGAAGTATATTGTAAAATATAAAACAAAGTTAAGATGGCTTAAAGTTAATATAGTTATTATTTTCATATAAAAATATATGTATTTTTAATAAGTTCATCTTAACACTTAAATTTATTTTATTTCCTAAAGAAAAAATCTACCTCAGTCTCTCCAATAGGATAGTTAGTGCCACTAGCCAAGCACTGTAATGTTGTATTACCAGTTATGTCAGAATAACTGTTACTTCTTTTTAAGCTCATTGTATTTTTTATCTCTTTTAAGATTTATGGTATTCAGTTTCAAATCTATCATATAAATAAACTTTAAAGTAGACTTAAAAATAATGAAAGTATTTGTATTGAATTAAAAACATTCGAAACTATGGTAGCACATGTTAATTACGTACTGTTAATACAAAATAGAACAATTTTATAAAAGCTTATAGAAAATAATAATGTTAAACAAATAAATAATTGGTTATAATGCTATAACTTTTTGAAAGATCTATGGACCAATATAATTCTTTTTTTTATGGATGTATGATGTCTTTAATTATCATTTGGTATATTTTTTTATAAATCTGACCCTAAATCTGCATACAGGAGGGGATTCAATATGACAACTTTTTTACAAAAAATATACTTTTTCAATTTAAATTTTGAAAGTGTTCCGGAAAGTCTGACACTTTTATATATATCTTAATTTCCGCAATCCCACTGTGCTGGGTTTTTTAAAATGATTTTATTCTGAAAACACTGTGTTCTATTCAAAATACTTTATGTGTTACTATTTTACCGTGTTTTTTGCCCGTTGTTTTTTTTTCTTTTATTCCACTTTTATATGCTACTCAACAATATTTTATTTACGTGTGTATATTTTTTTTTGTTAAGTAGCAACTACGAAATACAATAGGCGACGGTAAGGCTGACTGTCGAGTGAGCAAATTCCTACGAGTGTCGCGTTGAATGTTAAATATTTTAATTATAATATTTTGAGGTAGTATATATACATATATTTATCTTTTGAAGTATTAATTATGTTACAATACACTCCACTCACCAATCTTCTTCTACTTTTCCAGTGCCACCAGTTGTTGTTGCCCGACTTAGGATGAGACACGGTAACGGGTTGGAGTGACTGTAAGATGTAATATCAATTAAATTACACTTTTATGAATAACTACAATAATATAATTTAAGTTCTAGAAATTACAGTTATTATTATATGAATTATAAATTAATAGTCTTCTAATAATTATTAACAAATTTATATTTATGTGACACTTCATTCAACAACGGTTCAAACACTATTCAAGTTGCTTACCCAAACTATAAGTTGTCCATTTACAAATTATCAGACTAACTTAACCCCAATACAATAATACTACGGGTTCGTGACAATAAACAGCTCTGTGAATCATCGACACGTTGTTGTTTTTGGTCCACTGTCTGCAAACTCCAGCATCCATTTCGAGCATAATTTTCTTATACCCAAATGATCATGTAAAATCTATTGCACACGGTCAATTGAGACCTTTACAGAGTTATATTGTGAAGATTACACCTATCAATGTTGATACAAACTTTTATAGTAAATATATATAGTAAATACCTATGTTAATATTATGTAAATGACTTTTTATATATCTGATGGACAGAAATAAAAATAATATTAATTTTAGGAATATATTTTTTTGTTCCATGATTTAATGCCAACTTTTGAAGATCGTTGCCCCACTGTGCGTCGAATCGTTGAATCCGTGGATTGACTTGGAGTATATCTTCTCATTGTATATAAAATTATTTTATAGTTCAACGTCATTACATTTGTATTTTGCGGACGTCTGATTGAATTTAAATATGAATTTATACATCTGAAAATCATATCATACAGAAAAAAACATATTAATTAGATGAATGGTAATCTTTCTTTTTTTTATGGTTAGAAATCTATCATTGAAATTTATTGTTATTTTTTATTATTAGTCATATGGGCTTAGCGCTTTAGCAGGAACCCGGTGGCGAACAAATCCTTATGGCGTACCAACCAATAGCTCTAGCTCCCAAGGTTTTATTTTATTATTTAATAGAGTTCATGTAAAATATAATTAAAATACTTATGCTTATTTATATTTGTATTAAAAACGTTAAATAATATGTTATTGTGCTCATAGTTGTTAAAAAAGTACCTATCATATTGCTTGGTATAAAATATCAATTAACAATAAGGTAAATTATCTTAATTTTACATAAAATTTAGCAATTTTAAATTCAAAGTTTAAATATTACATATGTAGTATGAGTTTATTAAACTAAGTTGTACAAAAACAAACTAAAATTATTTACAAAATTCACATGAATAATTATAATTATTTAATTATATTTTGTTCAATTTTTCTAAAAATATGAAAGAGTAAAAAGTAATTTTTCTTTTGGAATTTTTAAAATGTATTACATTAGTTAAAAATTCAGGTATTTTTCAAAACATAACTTCATGAATTCTTTGCACTATTTCTTATTGAACATGTGCAGGTTGTGTATTTCGACGTTGAGTTATACCTCTTCTTCTACCACCTCTTCTATAGCAGTTTGTGGTGCATTCTCTACTCGTGGGACATTAACTGTCAATTCTAAAAATAGTTATAACAATAAATATAAGTTAAATAATGTTCAAATATACTTACTTTCTTGTTGTACTTTTTCCCGATGTTCTTTTATTGCATTCCCAAGAAGATTACAAATATTAGTAATAAAATTATCCAGAGAGAGACAAAGAGTTTTGGTGTAAACTAAAGTTCGACAAAGAGGACACACTTCACTATTTTTCAACCAAGTATTTAAACAAATTTCACAAAATTTATGGCTGCAATTAATTGTACACGCCTAAAAAAAAAAACAAATTTACATATTAAATTTTATATAAAATATTCATCTTCACAATTTATGACTAAATTTTATTTATTTCCCAATGATAATGAGATATTAAAAATCATTTTTTAAATCTAATTTATGGATGCGTAAAATTCAAGTTTTCTTGAACTAACATTTTGAGATAAAATATGTTTTATTTAAACTTCAAACTCAAATTCTAAAATAAAATAATTTTGTTGATATAATTATGAAGTATGTGATTTTTTTTCAGTCTCTTAGAAGCTAATTTATCAAAAACAAAATTAAAAAACTTATTTAAATATTGGATAAAAAAGTTACTAAATTATAAAATAATAATGTATAGACAATGACATAGTAATATTTTTCATTTTACTTAAATTGCATTTTATTTTCATAAACAAACAAATTTACTTTAAATGTTCCACATCATGGTAAAGTAATGTAAATATAAGTAAATGAAGTAATTGTAAAATTATTTTTTATCTTAGAAGATTAAGCAAATTTTATTTTAAATTGAAAATTTGTGTCTTCATATGTTTAGCAATCATATTAATTATTAGTTCAAAATAAAAATATGTACATTTACCTAAAGAAAAGCATTTTAAATTACTTTACTAGATTTTACTATATAAATTTTACAATTGATTTTTAAACACATTTATTTACTTTTTTAACTAATGAAAAAAAAATTTTCATCAGAAATTATTTTTTTAATTAAAATATTTTAGCTTTACTTTTTAGAAATTTTATTTACAATTCTAAAACTAGAAAGTTCAAAAAGTTTTCAGATCTCTACTATNAACTAGAAAGTTCAAAAAGTTTTCAGATCTCTACTATCACTTTATATTATTTAACAATCTTAAAATTGATTAAAAAGTATTCCCTAATGCATATTTTAACCAAAGTAACATAATAAATTTGCTAAGAACTTTTAAAATGATGACGTGTTATATTTCCACTATTAATGGATTTAAATGTAAAAATAATACCTTAACCTTTAATTCATTACAAATTGAACATTGAAAATCACTTTCTAGAACACTATAAACTTTTTCATTGATTGTTTCTTCAATTTTAGCTTTGATGCGAAGCTGAGAAGGTATTGGTTTTACTTAGATGTGTTTTTTTTAGCTTTGATGCGAAGCTGAGAAGGTATTGGTTTTACTATGATGTGTGTTTTTTTTTTTTTTTTTTGTGTCTGTTACCACTTTTTCTCAGCTCTCACCGAACGGATTTCTTTCAACGATACGTCAAAAGATCACAAATCATATCTAGTCGAAGACTTTACCCTTAAAAATTGAAAAAAATTCCCTCGTTCCCCGTAAAAGGGGGAAACCTCCAAAAAAATTACAAATTTAAAAATCGCTAATTTTCGAAATTTTTTCAATTTTTTTTACTTAAAAGTGCCATAACTTTTTCAAAAATGAACATATCAATATAATTCTTTTTTATATAGATGCATAATATCATTACCTTTCATTTGGTATATTTTTTTCATAAATTTAACCCTTAACCTGCCCACAAGGGGGGATTTAAAATGACAACTTTTTCACAAAAAATTAATTTTTTTAACTTAAATTTTGAAAATGTTCCGGAAGGTCTGACACTTTTATATATATCTTAAATTAAAGCTAATGTAATATACTTTATCATGGTAAAAAAAAATTTCGGACTTTATTTTATCTTCATGGTGAAAACAGACATTAAACTTAATAAAAAAAATACGATTTTTGTAAAAAAATTCTTTTTTATATTTTTAACTTTATAATGCTATAACTTCTCGAAAGATGTATGGATCAATATAATTCTTTTTTTTGTAGATGCATGATGTCTTTACCTATCATTTGGTATATTTTTTTTATAAATCTGACTTTTTACCTGCCTACAGGGGGGGATTCAAAATGACAACTTTTTCACAAAAAATTGACTTTTTCAACTTAAATTTTGAAAGTGTTCCGGAAAGTCTGACACTTTTATATATATCTTAAATTAAAGCTAATGTAATATACTTTATCATGGAAAAAAAAAATTTCGGACTTTATTTTATCTTCAAGGTGAAAATGGCTACCAAATGCTATTATTGTGTGAAAATTCTCAATTTTATTTTTTACATTTTTAACATTATAATGCTATAACTTATTGAAAAGTGTATTGATCAATATAATTTTTTTATGGGAAATACTATTTTCTAATAATCTCTTTTTTATTCTACATACTTTGTCTTAATCAGGATATTAATAAGGAACTAGCAGTTTATGAAGCTTTTGGAATAATCCACCAATTTTTTAAAATTAAACACTATCTAAAGATTTGCATCGAAGCGTTTTTTTTTGATAGTGATTTTAATCACTGTCAGATATCATTATACTTGATCCATCTATGCCACGTCACCACTGTGCCGCGACCCCCCTGTGCTGGGTTTTTTTTTACTTAAAATTGCCATAACTTTTTTTTATAGATGCATAATATTATTACCTTTCATTTGGTATATTTTTTTTATAAATCTGACTTTTTACCTGCCTACAGGGGGGGATTCAAAATGACAACTTTTTCACAAAAAATTGACTTTTTCAACTTAAATTTTGAAAGTGTTCCGGAAAGTCTGACACTTTTATATATATCTTAAATTAAAGCTAATGTAATATACTTTATCATGGAAAAAAAAAATTTCGGACTTTATTTTATCTTCAAGGTGAAAATGGCTACCAAATGCTATTATTGTGTGAAAATTCTCAATTTTATTTTTTACATTTTTAACTTTATAATGCTATAACTTATTGAAAAGTGTATTGATCAATATAATTTTTTTATGGGAAATACTATTTTTTAATAATCCCTTTTTCATTCGACATACTTTATCTTAATCAGGATATTAATAAGGAACTAGCAGTTTATGAAGCTTTTGGAATAATCCACCAATTTTTTAAAATTAAACACTATCTAAAGATTTGCATCGAAGCGTTTTTTTTGATAGTGATTTTAATCACTGTCAGATATCATTATACTTGATCCAACTATGCCACGTCACCACTGTGCCGCGACCCCCCTGTGCTGGGTTTTTTTTTACTTAAAATTGCCATAACTTTTTTTTATAGATGCATAATATTTTTACCTATCATTTGGTATATTTTTTTTATAAATTTGACTTTTTACCTGCCCACAAGGGGGGATTTAAAATGACAACTTTTTTACAAAAAATTAATTTTTTCAACTTAACTTTTGAAAGTGTTCCGGAAGGTCTGACACTTTTATATATATCTTAAATTAAAGGTAATGTAATTTACTTTATTATGCAAAAAAAAAATTTCGGATTTTATTTTATCTTCAGGGTGAAAATGGCTACCAAATGCTATTTTTGTGTGAACAATAGCATTTTTGTATTTTACATTTTTAACTTTATAATGCTATGACATATTGAAAAGTGTATGGATCAACATTATTTTTTTATGAGAAATAATATTTTTAATAATCCCTTTTTCAATCGACATACTTTATCTTAATCAGGATATTAATAAGGAACTAGCAGTTTATTAAGCTTTTGGAATAATCCACCAATTTTTTAAAATTAAACACTATCTAAAGATTTGCATCGAAGCGTTTTTTTTGATAGTGATTTTAATCACTGTCAGATATAATACTTGATCCAACTATGCCACGTCACCACTGTGCCGCGACCCCCCTGTGCTGGGTTTTTTAAAATTTTTTTTCCTATATCAAAATGTTAATTTTATTTCCATAAACTTTAAAAGACCCAGTACTATTACAAGTTATTTTTATTTTCAATTCAATTTTAGTTTGCCACTAAATTATATTTCTTTAGAGACTATAAAAATGTAATATGATCCTTTTCCTAAACTGAAATATTTAACATTTTTAGATAGTAAGATATCATTTGCATAAAAACCCAAGCTTTTTTTTTTATTACGTATCGTAAATATTTATTGTTTTTTTGAAAAAAAAAAAATTCTAATTAAATAATTGTTTTTATTACCATTAACATGTATATCTCTTCTCAAACTATATTTTTTTTTAATATGTAATTTATTATATTAAAAGCCAACGTAGCAGACATTTTATTCTATAACTCTATTTTTTTTAAAAGGGCGTGGTGTGGCATAGTGAATATTTCAGACTCCTCTTAGAGCTGATGTTCGGCTGTACGGTTTGCTATTGATTCCCGGATGGGTGATCATATTGAAACTTTAACAGTGACAAACACCTTTCCATTACTAGTTCCCTCAGTCGTAATGAAATTGCGTCAGGTAGTCATTGTAAAATCTTTTTAAATTATTATAAGTTTAAACTGACCCCAAATAGTCGGGATGGAGGCTAAGGAGATGATGATGACATCTATTTCCTTTGAGAAGAAATACTTCTTTAAAAAATAAACTCATTAAGATATATGTATTCTTTAAATTGTTTTTAAATAAAAGTTCTTTCAAAATATATCATTTGTATTTCCAAAAATTTAATAATATCAGAGTATTTAAAATGTAGTAATTTGTAAACTTGCTCCAATCTCGTGTCGTTGTTTTGAAGGTTGACGTCAAGTATTTTATTATTTGATATGTATAAACTATTAACAGACATTCGTTGGTTATTTTTTAATAGTAAAGGACTATCTAAAAACTCCCATCCATAAAAAGGCGACTAAAGTGTGCAAGTATGATACCATTTTATTTATACATTATTAGATAATACAAACATTTTTTGTCTAGTAATAAAGTAATTTGTAACTTTTTCTCTTTAAAAAATTTAAATTTCGACATAATTTGTGAACGAAAATAACGTGTTAATATCAATTAAATTTTATATAGTAATATCAAAATTACGTGATATTTGTACTCTTCAATGATTAATTTTTATCAAAACTCATGATATTTTTTGTATTGCTTAATAATCATAAAAAGAGTATACTAGTGATTTTGAAGTTTCTGAGCATATAGTCAGATAATACATCACTTTATTGCATTATTTTTGAACTATAAAAGTATATCATTCACAAATTGTTTTGTTTATTTAAAATTTTTGTACACGGTTTATACAATCTTTTTTATTATTTCATTAATGGAATACTTTATGTTTAAAGTTTTTTAAAAGTATTTTCAAAGTTAAAATAAATAAATAAGTTAAATTTTAACATAACTTTATACTGCCAAATCAACTTGAGTTAAAAATATTTGCGAAACTCCCATGAATTTTTTTTAGAATATAGCTTTAATCTTAAAGTTTTAAGCTTAATGGTTGTTTCTTTTTTGTAGTTAATAATTGGAACTATTTATATATTGACTGATAATAACATTTTAAGCTGCTATAAAAAATCATAAATTCAAAAAGTTGTAATTATAAAAAATTTTAAGGAGCCATAAAAAACAAAATATTGAGAAGCCATAGAAATGCTTATATTTTAAGAAGCCATAGAAATGCTTCTATTTAACTTTCTTTCTTTAATGCCAGGACTTGGCGTTAAAGTCTCTCTCGTATAACTAAAAATTAAGAAGTATATCGTTCTTTGATTCAAATATTTTTTAAAAATACATTATTTGAAATTCTGCTTATTTGATAAAATCAAAAATACTTTTAGCATAGTAATTTGTAAACCTACTTCAATCTTATGTCATTATTTCTCCTGTTGATATCTAGTATTTTAAATTCTTATATGTATAACTTAGTGTGGACATCGATGGGTTAATGATATAAAAATTATTATTTTCCAATGACAAACATATCTATTAGCTCCAAATTTTAAAGGTAGGTTAATTATGTTACTTTGACACACTTTTATATAAATCATCCTAATTAAACAACAGATAACTCCTCAGAACAGGTGTATAGGGAAATTTATTTACTATGAACCATTTAATTAATCTAAAAATAAAAATAATATTGACAATTTTTTCAATGGTATTTTTTAGTTCCATTTTTTTCTAAATTGCATGAAGTTTTGTAAATTTTTATTTCTCAGAATATTAACTTTATGTTTTCAAATTGAAACATACATAATAAACTAATCTATTTGTTAATGATCTAATAATTAAATGTCCAGTTGATAATAACTTTTGAACTAGTATTTCAAAATTATTAATAATTTAAAGTAATAAATGGATACGAAACGCGGATGCTGCTATTTTTATCACTAGATATTTTTCCCTCGTTAATCCTAACGTCAATTTTTAGTAATGTTTACGAAAGTCAATAATGTAAATGTAAAATTAAAAAAATAAACAAGTAAAAAATTTAATAAGTTGACATTTTTAAAAATATAATATTTTGTTATCCGGGCAGCGAATAACAAAGAATTTATGTGATTATTTACTGCTGTTTAGGTTGTTATCGATCAATTAAGAGACTAGGCAATCAAAGATTAGGTATGCAGTCAGTTATCTATGTAGAAAACTTTCGCCCGGATAACGAGAGACCTGAGAGTTTGACTCTTGTTCGTTGGCATATTTTTTTCTCAGTTTCCTAGTTTCTAACAAGGTCAAGTAATTTAAATATATTATTAAAAATATATTTAAATAAAACGTTTATAAAGTTATTCCCCCAAGCATGTATTTACAGATCAAGAAATTCTAGTACTTACCAAAATTGAAATTTATCTATGACCAGCCATCTTATCGCAGCCACAGACGAAAATATTTAATTTTAATTTTTAATAATCAATAAAATGAAAACATATTATTTGTAAAAAAAAATAAAAATAATTTAATTTAAATGCGTATAAATCTTATCATATAATAAAACTTTGAAAAATTTGCCAATGCTGGAAAATTACTTAACAATCACTGATAAAAAAAACATATTTTAAATGACAAATCATGACATTGCTCTGGGGAAAAATACCTGATTTCTTCAAACAGGTGTTTAATTTAAAAATATTAAAAATAATGAACAAACAATAAAAACAAATGAATAAAAACAAAGTTTACAATAATATAGTGCAATTAACTCATTTTATTGGATTTTCATTATAAACATAAATTACTTAAATGATTTTAAATATAATTATTTGGCATGAACGTATAATAATATAATTTAATATAATATTGTAAACAATGAATTTCGTAATGTATATAAAAATAACTTTTTACATAAATAAGTGAAAATTAAAGGATGCCTAAAAAAAATGTATGAACTCTGAATATTATTTTACTATTTAAAACTGCGCTTTCCTCTAGACGCCGAGCTCTACGGGTTTCATGCACCTTTATTTTATTAATTAAATTTTTTACTATATTTTTGTTACAATGATTTTGAGGTAATATATTTTGTGCAAAACACTTATCATGCCCCCCATAGCCGGGTACTTCTACTAGATTCTATCCGTAAAGACGTTTGGAAGGACCTAATATGCCTGAGGTCCGTAAAGCACCGGGCCTGAGGTGAAGCTTAGTGATAAAAATAATTAAATGGTTTTAAATAAATAAGTGCTGTTTTGGTTGATATTTTAGAATGTGTATTAATAAGTATAGTTGGTTTTTGTACAAAAAATAATTCAGTTATGGAAGAAAAAGTTAAAAATTTAATGAAATTTTTAGCTAAAAACTGAAGTTAGTCTTGACAATTAACTTAAAAAATTAAATCTTAGGAAGTAAAGTTTCATTTTGCTGTTTTAACTCCTGAAAATAAAATTATGGTTAATAATAGTAATTAATTAATTAAAAAAACAACTTTGTTTTACTCTTTACCTGTAATGTAACTTATTTTTGTTAATTACATTTTATCTCTCATTGTTAATAAATTCAAAGTTATTAAAACAGCTAGGGCTGTACCTATAGAAATCTGATATGATATATATCAGCCGATATATACCTGTTGCTATATGCAATATTGGTTTTATCAAAGTTGGGTTTTTTTTACTCGATTCCATATTACAAAAAAAAATCTGATTAAATAAACACACTATATATTTTTAAGGATATAAAACTATTATAATTTTATAAATATCGAAGAAAAATTGTTATTAGTCCAGCCCGAATAATAGGATTTATTTTAGTATACTATTATAGACATGCCTTTAAAGTATGAAAATATTGTTCTACAAGTTGATAGTTAATTTGAAAATTATTTTATTTAACTTTTATTTAATGAAAATTTCAAACCTACTCACAATATTAAATTAATAAAAGTAAATTATTGCTAATCAACGAATTTATTAAATAAAATAAATGTTTTGATAAAAAAAGTTTTGAATTTCAGCAATTTCCTTACCATACTAGTAGAATATCGTTTATTAAAATTCCTTGTTTTTTTTAATCTACTTGCTATAAATGGCGTGAATAGTTCTGGATCAACAACTCGGTTCGAATCATAAAACATTGCGCTTACTATTAATCCTACTATGAAAGTCACAGCAAATCCCAAGACGACATAGTACATGTAACTTATACGATATATATAAAAATAACTGGCATCTGATCTAAAATTGAGAACAATTTTATTGATGTATTTTATTTGTTAGACATACATTACTTATTATTAGATAAAGTTGAATTTAACAGTGTAATGGCAGTTTCATTCAATACTGTACATCCACTTATACTTCTATGTAAGGATTTGATAGCCGGTTTCGGTCCACCAAAGCAAAGAATAGAAGAAAATATGAGGCCCAAAGTGAGACCAGTTAATGAACCCTAAAGTTTAGAATTTTATGACTAACATTTCTGATCCAACTACGTATATATTTAATCAACTTAAAATTGTATAACACTAACCTTTTCATTTGCGTATGGTATTAACATTCCAAGCGTAAAAATAGCTACAACTGGACCTCCAAACACACCCGTTAATGTTAAAGACATTTGTAAAAGAGATCCGAAATATTTTATGAAAAAACTCAGTAAAATAAATAAAATACCATAAGAGACAACCAATAATTTTAAGTAAAATACTTTTTGCTTGTCAGTTAACTCATCCTTAATAAATGGCTAGAAAACAATTAAACTAAAAGTATTAAATGCAAAAAGATCTTAAATTGTTAAAACAAAAAAAACAAAACGAAAAGAAAGTATTGTATACATTTATGTAATCTTCTAATGAGATAGCAGCCATTGAATTAATAACTGGCGATACAGAACTCAATCCTGACGATAGTACACCAGCAACAAATAAGCCCGTCATTCCTGGAATGTTTCCCATTGTATCCATCACATACAATGATAGTAATTGATCATCTTTTGTAATACGTCCAGACCTTTAATTAATTTGTTTTCAATTTACTTTGTGGATTTTTTAGTGTTAACTATGTACGATTACTTAAATAATTTAACTACTTGACTGGATCACAGTTATGATATTTTGAATAGATAGCCAAGCCAGTGAAGCATTTTGAATATGATATTATTAATAAAATTGGTAAACTAAGCCAAACGCATTTGATTGCTGATGTTTTGTCTTTCATGGTTAGATATTTTTGAACTTGAACTTGGGTAATACCATTCATAGAATAAATTAAAATTCCTCCTAATGTCAAATTTAACCATGTATGTCTTTCTGTTGGATCTATGTTAAAACTGTAATAAAAATTATTTGACTTATATAGTATATATTTTTATAAAAATATGTGGGAGGTATTCAAGGTTCTGATGATTAAATATTTTCTAATAAATTACCAAAAAAAAAAAAAATCACACAATTTTTAACCAAATTATATAACAGTAATTATTATTATTTTTTTATGTCAACATTTTATAAAAGTTATATTTCTTTAACTAGATACGTAAGTTGTTAAAGAGCATTTTATACTTGTATATTATTCATTACACGGGTGATCCTACAATAATTATTTGTTTATTTATAACATTACGGACAATAGCCAAAAAAATACAATATGTATTTGACAGCATATTGATCAACTTAAAATTACCATATAAACTTAAAAATGAGAACATAATTAAACAAAAGTAAACTTAGTAAGGAAAAAAAAAATAAAAATAAACGCAAAACAAATTTTAATTAAGACAAGTACAAAATATATACATGATCAAAATGTATATCTTAAATAGAATAGCTAAATGACTGAATTAAAAATGACGAGAGTGCAAAAAATTAAGGTCATTATTTGCAGTACGCATTAGACGTAGGAGACCGGAATGAAGTATGTAATTAGAAGAGGAAAGAGGAATGAGAAAAGGGGCAATAATACGAGTTGAACGAGCAGGAACCCGAAAGTTTCAAAGTTCTTACTTTGAAAGTAAGACAGGGGAATCAATTAAACCAACTGAGAGTTTAGAAAGGAAACGGATATTGGAATCGTATCATCTGTAAGATAAACAAGGAATTTGCAAGAAATTTTAAATAGGAGTTAAGTCATGAGGTGGATAGATGATATTAAAGATAAAAGCAGCAAAGTACAAAAATGTACGCTGGACTCTTTCGAGCATCATAGAGTCTGTAACTGTGTAAGGATCTCATAATACCGAACCATATTCGAGAAAAGGAAACTGAATACCATAAATCTTAAAAGAGATAAAAAATACAATGAGCTTAAAAAGAAGTAACAGTTATTCTGACATAACTGGTAATGCAACATTACAGTGCTTGACTAGTGGCACTAACTATCCTATTGGAGAGACTGAGGTAGATTTTTTCTTTAGGAAATAAAATAAATTTAAGTGTTAAGATGAACTTATTAAAAATACATATATTTTTATATGAAAATAATAACTATATTAACTTTAAGCCATCTTAACTTTGTTTTATATTTTACAATATACTTCATTTTTCTTTAAAATGGTTAAATTGATATATTATAACTCTTCAGTTTGTTATTGGACGTTCTCCTGCCTGTTCACTTGTAATTGATGAAAATTCTATAGCACGACGACATTGTTTTATAAAGAAATCCAATGGCCAATATATTATTTCTCACAATGTAAGACTTAAAATTTTTATTGCATGTTTATATTAATTTAGCTATCAAAAAGAATAATTAATTCTAAGTTGATCAACAATATCTGTACTACAGGGAACAGATAATGAAACTTATGTAAATTGTGTGCAAATTCCTATTGACCAAAATGATTATCAAGTTTTAAATCATGGAGATGTCATTTCCTTTGTAGATGGGAATGGAAATATTAAATATCTGTACAGATTTGTTTTACAAACATGTACAAATAAAAAATTGAAGTAAGATTATTCGTAAGACATCATGTGTGTAAGTAAATTGTAGAATATGGATAAACAATACACTAATATAATCAAATGTATTGTTTATTTTTTTAAACGCAATAAAATAAATTGATTAATATAAACACTATATCTAAATCAAAATTATCTGAAAAATATTATTGATGTGTACGAGGCAGCTAGACCGTAGGACGGCTAGTTGTGCACCGCACTAGAATGCCGTTTTACCTTAAACCTGTTTAATAAAACGTTAATATTGATGTGGGAGTGGGTCACCTAGGAGACGACGGCTAATTATACATCCAATAAGTAAACGAGAATAGACAATAATTAAATAACAAATAATCACATATATTAGAAATTCCTCGGAGAGTATCTTAAATTTAAGGGGTAACGGGGGGCCCTTAAATACTAATGGCCGGAGAAGCGGCATAAAACAAAATAGTTAATCTCAATTAAAACAAACAATAAATAACATTAAAAATAATATAAAACTTAGCTGTATAGATGACGTTGTTGATAGTGATGAGTGGACTGTATGAGATCTTGTGGTAATGGTGTCAAACATTTGAGTATGACGAGTCAGAGTGTAAATCCAAGTACGTAATGGAAGATGAGAACAAACCGCGAAAAAGCGACTACGGCAATGAAGATATTTAGTGATGGTCAGGGCCCAATCACTAGTGGCGTGCAAGGGCACGTAAACTTTGAGCACAAGGGTGCAATAAACAAATAAAAAAATAACGGCGTACAATGGCCGAACAATTTACTATTCAAGCTAAGGCGCTTGCAACAGAAAAATAGTGACACACAAAAAAAAACAAATGACTGACTGACTTACGAAAAAGAACTGTACACGGATGACAATCGACACGGAGGTCATCGATTTGACATGATGGGTGGGCAAGGGGGTGAGTAAAGCAAGATGCTGGTGATCAGCTGTCCCATAAAATAATATAATCAATGATCTTCGTAACAATTTTTTTGATAAATCTTATCTTTAATTTGGTTTTTTTTTATAATTTAGTAGTTACAATAGGTAATTTATTTGTTATTTGTGTGCTCTCAATAATAGTAATAAAAATATGACTAAAAAAAGGCAGGAATTGTTTTTAATTTTATATAAAATAAATTTTACATTGTTTATAATTTACATTTATTTTTAAATTTTTTATAACTTATTTGTTATTAGTATTTAGGTATAAATTATTTTTTCTTAATAACTTAAAAGTTGAAAAATTAAATCAGTTTATGTTCACATCATTATTTTATTAGCTTCGATGCGAAGCTGAGAGGTATTGGTTTTACTATGATGTGTTTTTTTTTTTGTGTCTGTTACCACTTTTTCTCAGCTCTCACCGAACCGATTTCTTTCAATGATACGTAAAAAGATCACAAATCGTATCTAGTCGAAGACATTACTCTCAAAAATTGAAAAAATTTCCCTCTTTCCCGTAAATGGAGGAAACCCCCTACAAAATTACAAATTTAAAAATCGCTAATTTTCAAAATTTTTTCAATTTTTTTACTTAAAATTGCCATAACTTTTTTATATACATACATGATATCGTTACTTTTCATTTGATATATTTTTTTTATAAATCTGACCCTTTACCTGCCCACGGGGGGGATTTAAAATGACAATTTTTTCACAAAAAATTAACTTTTTCCACTTAAATTGATGCTTGAAAGAGTCCAGCGTAGGGACTCTTTCGAGCATCATAGTCTGTAACTGTGTAAGGATCTCATAATACCGAACATATTCGAGAATAGGATAAAATAATGAGCAAAAAAGACTTTTTCGAAGTTTTGAGAGATAAAATTATTTATAAATAAAATAAATTTATAATTATTTTTAATAGACTCNAATAAATAAAATTAATTTATAATTATATTTAATAGACTTTTAATAATATACACATACTTATTTAGTTCAATACGGCCATCATGTTTAGCAATACTCCAAATTTCTGATAAGCCACCTGTTTCATACATAGCAACTCCAATTACTGCGAATATTGAGCCTAAAATAATGATCACCTGGAATTTATTTTAAACTTTATATCCATTAGGTTTTCAAGTTTTAAACTTAAACTGTTAAATTAAATAATTACTTGAAACATGCTTGTTACTATAATTGCCTTGATACCACCAATTGCCGAATAAACTATACAAACTACACCGACCAAAACAATAGAAAACTCAAGAGAAACCCCAATTATAGTTTCAAATGTGAGAGCTGGAGCATACAGCATTATAGCCATATATAAAACTGTTTTTATACTAAATGCTATGGAAACAGTAGTTCTAGTTAGTCTTCCAAACCGTTTCTCTAAATACTGTGGATATTAATATTATAATTAAAGTAATGAAATTACCTTGTTCAATCAATTATATATTTATTGATATGTTAAAATATTTTTGAAATACTCTATCAAGATAATAAAATAGCTCATTAAAGTAAAATGATTATTTATTTTATAAATACAGCAAAATTTAAATTTTATTTTTAATAGACATGTGAATAGAAAGTATTAAGTATTCATTTTTATTATAATTTATTGATATTATTAACATTTGTAATTTTTATTTGATTTTTTTAAATAACTTTTACTGCATTACAGTATTTTTTTTATTTATTCAAATAGTAAATACCTAGAAATTTCAATTTGCCATTATTCTATTCTTATATAGTAAAAGAATTCGGATTTAAATATATTTTAAGCTAATCAAATGGTAAAAATTATTTTGCGGTAAATTATATTCTAACATTTATTTTATTTATTTATATTAACGGGTATAAAACCCTTTAGAAAGGGTTATCTTACAGCGCAAATATAACAATAGACAGTAGAAAAAATATTGTAATATGTACATGACAATTAATAACAATAACAAATAGCAAAAATTAATAGTAACAGTATTCAAATTATAATATTATATTATGCATATTAAATGGTATACCATTTAATAAAATCATTAAAAATGTAAATCAAACAAATAATTGATGTAGAGCTATGTATACACTTTGCTTAAAAAAATCACGCGACATAAAAAAAAAATCTAAATTTTCGGCAATAAGATTGGCTAAAGATAAAGTCCTTGGAAAAAAAGATGCGAAACTATAATTGTTTTTATAAAATGGAATATAGAACAAACTAGATTTTCTTAAACTACGATTTGGTGTTATAAAACCAATCATAGATAACAGTTCAGGGAAATCAATAAATCTATTTAACAAATCATATAAGAACATAATATCTGCAATATTACTCCTTAATTCACAAGACGTGAATTCCAGTTGGGATATTTGCAAGTTATTTGATATATTTAATTTATAACTCAATAACTTAAAGAATTTGAACTCAACATTCTCAATTGAATTCCTGTAAGAAAAATAACTCGGTGACCGCACAGCTGAACTAAATTCAAGATGAGATCTAACTAGTGAAAAAAATAATTGTTTAAATGTATTAATATTTTTTAAATTTTTTGTGTGCCTATTTATGAAACCTAACATATGAAAAGCATTTTTTATAATATTATCCATGTGTAATGAAAAAGACATTTTGGAATCAATAGTAATCCCTAGATCTTTAACTGAAGTAACTTCCATAATGGTGTAATCATCAATTTTATAATTAAAAGTAATTGCATTATTTGAGCGATAAAAAGTTATAACACTGCATTTACTTATATTAATAGGTAGACAATTAAGTTGACTCCAAGTAACAAATCTATCTAAATTTAACTTTAAGCTTGAGTACGATAACTTATATAGGATTTAATTCACTCTAAAAATTTACCATGAAAACCAAATAACACTAATTTATTTAGGAGAAGTGTATGATTGACTTTATCAAAAGCCTTTTGAAAATCAGTATAAATTGAATCTATTTGAACGTGATCATTGAGAGCAACAAGTATTTTAGACTGATAATGCAATACATTAGTAGAAACGGACATCTTGGGCCTAAACTCATGCTGGTTATTACAAATGTAATAAACTTTGGATTATTTCTTAGTTATAATTGCTTTAAACATTTTTGGAATAAACGACATTTTGCAAATAGTCCTATAATTTAAAATATTATGCCTATCCCCTGATTTATGAATTGGTATAATAAAAGATTTTTTCCAAATATCAGGGAAATAGCCTAGACTTAAAGACTTATTAAAAATAAGATGCAAAGGTTTAACTAGTACTGAATTACATAATTTTAGAAACACTGATGGAACACCATCAGGTCCAGTACCTGCATGAGTATCTAAACTATTTAATAAATCAAATATTTCATTCTGATCAATATTCCAAGAACTAAGATTAATATTAAAATTATTCATTGAAGCTACATTTAAAATTTGGGACTGTATGTTAGGGTTCATCGAATCAGCAATATAAACACTTGAAAATTAATTAGCAAAATAATTGGACAGTTTTAGAAGTATTAGTAGATGAGAGATTATCATATTTAACACAATCGGTTACAATACTATTCGATTTTCAAAGGGAATTAAAATATTTCCAAAAAGGTTTTATATTTGATTGAATACTATTTTCAATATTAATAATATGTTGGGAATGATAAATTGAAATAAGAAATTTGCATTTTTTTCGAAGGTTAGAAAAAATAAGATAATTTTCATGAGAAGGACTAAGTTTATATTCTTTGTGTGCACATTTTTTATCAATAATAAGCTTTCTAAGGTCAGAATTTGCCCAAACGGGGAGTCATTACCATAAATTTTAGTTTTGGGTACAAATACAAAAAAAGAGTGATAAATAATTTCATAAAATTTTTCAATTAATGCTTCAAAAGATAAATTGTTGTTTAGATTCAGTTCAAAATCAATGTTAGAAAGAAAATAAGAAATATTCTTAAAATTACAATTATTAAAATTATATACATGAGGTGTCTCAATGAAAACAGTTTCCGATGAATCATTAAATATTATAATAATTTCTAAAGGAGGTTGATACTTATCAACATCTGGAACAAGGGATTCAAAGGAACGAGTAATAGAAGTAAGTTCTGCATCAGCACTAAGCCACATACAGTCAAGAGTAAGACCAATACTATTTTGAATGCAGTTAACTTGTTTTAAGTTTAATACATTTACATAAGAATTAAATAACATGATTCCTGTGATGTGATCCTGAGTATTAGGATCAGTAGTCCAATCAAAACTATTTAAATTAAAATCACCAGAAATAATGAAATGATTAGAATACATTTCCGTAGTTGCATATGGTGGAATATAGACACAGCCTATAACTATTTTTATGTTGTTAAGATTAATTTTTAAAAATATTTGCTGAATTTCATCAACAATAGGACATGTAACAATTCACAACATATTTTTTTTTTTTACAGCAATTAAAACCCCTCCATCACGCGATTTGCTATTAGACAGAGTACGATCAACTCTGTATAAATTATAGTAAGTAAAACCAAGTTCCGCATCAAAAACATTGTTATTTAGCCACGTTTCGTTTAAGCAAATTATATCATAGTTTACATTTAATAAAGCATTACGTAAAAATGGAATCTTAGTTAAAAGACCACGGACATTTTGGTAAAAAACATTAATTATAAAAAATTTTGATCACACGTATTAACTAAACGATTATTCTTAGAAATAATTACCGGCATCCCTCTCGCATACTTTATAACTAAATCAATTTCCCCATTATTTCTACGAATCTCCAAATCATTACGAAGTTTTTTCAAATGATTTCTTTGATGTAACGTACGATCTGAACTGATACGAATGACTGAAGGCGGTTACAATGATAACTATTTTTTTTTTAGATTTTAAAATATCAAACACATTAGTTGACGAATCAAATACTGCCTTAATAGGACGAATTTTATTATAATTACGATTACCTAATCGCATAACTTTTAATGGTTTAATGTTATTATTCCCACTAATAATGGAATCAATAGCATTACACACATAAATAGAATCGTGTGCTAATCTATCCGCCGAGATATCTGAATTGGACTCTGGAATATTGTATAGTATTAAGTTGGACGCTCTTAGATTTCGCTCACTAATCTCGCCAATTATGAATTCCTCTGAATAAATTGACCCATTATTGGTATCTTTTTAATTTTTAAGATCGTTAACTTCCACTATTAATCGATTTATTAACAACTTTAAATCAGGGATCTCGCGAAAACCATTGTTTCACGCTTCACAAAAAAATTTCAAACTGCGATTTTTTAAAGAAAGGAATTTGATTTCATTTACAGTTAAACCCGAACATTTATTATGAATAGATAAACTACAGCCATCGAATTTAATGGGAGAATCGAGTTCGGCAAAACCAATATTACATTTAAAGCAAGTATCACTATTAACCATCAACATGTTAGTATTTAAGTTAGACTAGAATGAATAGACAAAACTACTGCACATATCGACATCATACGACAGCACAATGATAACTGTGTTTTATTATAGCAGTTTTTATTTGATTTGTGTAGAGAATACCTAATAAACTATAGTATAAATAATGATAAACTGACAATAATAAGTTATCATTAAATGTTAAAAACTTTTTGGTCATGTTATTGATTAAATTAACTTTTGCTGTTATTTTCTTTTTTCTCTGCAAAGTTTAGTATTATTTTCATAAATTTCAAAGAACTCAAAGCTATTACAAGTTATCTCTGTTTGCAATACAGTTCTAGTTTGCCATTCGTCCAACGTATTATTTTATTTTATTATTTTTTGTACTAAAATTATAAACGTAGTAAACGTATATTTTAGTATCTGATTCATATAAACAGCAAATAGACATTGGCTGGTTATTTTTCAATGACGAAGGACCATTTATCAACTAGCACCCATCAAAGGAATTTTTTTATTTTTAAAGAGTTTAATGGAGACGACTTTTCGTCTTAATCAAAATTTTTACAAGCGTAACTTAACATTTAATACATAGTGTTAAAGTAAGATAAGGTATAATAAACAGTGTCTTCTAGTGAAGTGTCTCTGAACAAATATAAAAAAGTAAAATTTACATAATAGACTAATATTTACTAAAAGGCTTATCGTTAAAGTATTTACATCTACCGATGTTTCGCTTTGTGATTAATTAAGGTCGAATTCAATATATAAACCTCTATAGTTATTTTAGCTATTTTTTCTGTAACATTATCTAATACTAATAATATATTGCTGAGTGAAGGATTGTTTTACAATCCAATACAATAGGATTGTTTTTGTGCTATTACTACCACTGTCTTTCTTGATTGTTTGAGCAAATGTAATGCCATTTTTCACGTGCGTAAGTTTATTCGACTGCACACGTTAAACAACAGATATTTTTAATGGGTTAGCTTTTAATTGTGCCACCTATAAGCTGAACAGCATTTCCAGTTAGCTGTATGATTTTCATCACACTTCGTTTTATTATTGTTAGACTGAGAACAACCAATAGATTTAATAGCTAGAATCATAGTATTTTTTTAATTTAACCATTATTTTTCTTAGAAGAATGAAACATTGGTCAGATTAACAAATGTTTTGTTAAATCAACAAAATTACTGGTTCAACTAATAAAAAGAACACTATTTATTTAACAAAAACATTATTGGACTTACATCGATAAAAAAATGTGTTGATTTTACTATAGACTTTTTTCAGAGTAGCTAAGGTTTTTAAGGTTTAGTTGCTCATTGTCTTTTGGTTCTTCTACCGTCAAATTGATCATTAATTTTTTATCATACTTACATATATGTATTTTTTACAAACATACATACTGTAAACGATTGTTCAGAAATTTTCGAGATTTTTCTCGCAATTTCTTTCGTAATTTTGATAGTTATTTTAGTTACACTCGAAATTTCTTTTGAAGTTGCTTGACGTATAACAACGTATAACGTAAAACACATTTCAAATATCTGTTTTTGTAATTTTGTATTACTATCTTGAAGTTTATTTATTTTTTAATATTTCATTGTATCTTGCATTTGTTTTAAAATACATAAGCTGATTTTTACGTAAATATACAGCGGTAGCCGTTTTTTGTCCATTGCAATATTCATGTTACTAAAATTTTATCTATCGCATGACAAACAAATGCATTTGTACTTAATATGTATTTTTTTTATTTAATGACAAATACTACACGTTATATGTGTATAACGCGATAAAAACATGTTGCTTTTTTGGCTATCAAGTAGCAACAAGGGCAAACATTATGATGCAAGTATAATACTTTTTTTTATCTAAATTATTCTAATTAGGTAGGTAGGTAACGTATGATAGATACATAATTATTTAATATAATAAAATGAATTGTATTAATATGGCTATATTTAATATTGTCGTTATTAATAGTTTCGCTACCATTTTTGATATAACATAAACTTGTTTATGTAATAAAATGATTTAAATTTAAAGGAATAATTATTAGTTTAAAAAGTTTGGCACAAATTTATGAATTAAATTTTAGATTTTATGTATTAAAAGTAAAATGAACAGTTACAAGATTCGTGTTTTCACAATTTTAAGTAAATAACTAATTGAATAATAATTTTTGAAAAGTATACTTATTAAACATGTTATTTTCATTTCTGTATTAAATATATTTATAAATTGAATATATTTTACTTTTATAAAAAAACATTTCATTAAACAAATAAAAAATAGTTTGAAAATGTATTTGATAGTCGTATAACTTTAAATATTCTTATCATGTATGCATTAGTTCACTATTTTGGGGTTGAGCCTAAATGCCCGCCAACAGTATTCTAAGAGACCAACGGGAGATAGCTGACTAGGCCATATCTACCTTAGGTACTGAGGTTTCCTATTTAATTTATATAACACTCTTGATAAATAATGATATAAATGTTTATAAAGCAAAGAAATATTAAATAAACAATACCACCTGCTGGATACTTAGAGATGATAATAATACAACAGGGGCTGACGATGATACACACACACACACACACACACACACACACACACACACTATCTCGGTAATAACAAATATAAGTTAAAATATAAGACCACAAAATTAATGGTCGCGATGATGGTAAAAAGTCAACTACTGTTCGGGACACAATAAATCATTAAAAAAATAAAAATTAGTAATGAAACATAAATAATCAATTTTAGTGAGAAAAATTTAATGATTAATTTCATTTATTTACTATAGGAATTCATTCTACTAAAATAAAAATATTATATTCTCAGTATTAATTATATTCGCATCGTTGTTAAAAGCACAATGATTTTATTTTTTGAATTTTAACACATTGTTTGTCAGTATTGGTAGGTAGGAACTCATAATCAATGTGATACACAAAAAAAAAAAAATAACATAGAAAATTGTAACGTTGTAAAATTAAAAATAATACATTAAAAACACATTTTAAATTTCATTAATGCTTAAAATTCTTTTGTTATTCGTTTTTTTCTACTTTTATGCTGTAATTGGCACTGCAAATATAATAAGTGTGCATACATTTTTAGTAAACATAATTCAAATTTTTAATTACTTCTTTATGTTTATAAATATAGTCGATCTATCAATCCGAGGTATTAATGACAATAAATGAAAATACGTTTGATATATTCTTTTTTAAAATTAAACTTACTTCGTATACAGAGAGTTTCCCTAGTTTGAAAAATACAGGCAGAAAAACGTATGTTATTATTGGTGTCCCAATGATGTATCCTATATAGAGTATAACGAATTGAGTTCCATGACTATAAATTTCTGCACTTCCTCCGAATAGAGAAGAAGATGATGTATAAACGGTGAGTAAAGAAAATGCTACGGGTATGATACCTTGATTTTGGTTTCCCATCATATATTCCTAAAGAAAATACTCACAAAATAAAAACAAATTTACGATTCCTTAAAAATCGTTTAAATAAATATTACTTGAGTAGTTTTTTGTTTGCCACCCGTAAATCGAAAATACACGCCAATCGCTGATGATATACAAATAATTACACCAAGTACAACATAATCGACAATTCCAAAAGCCATGATAAATAAATCACGAAGATCTAAGATTGCAATTATAAATATTATTAAAATATGTCAAAAATAAATATGTTAAGAAAAAAAAGAACTATTTATTAAAATAGAGTAATAATTCTAATATTCTAAAGTGAGTACATCTCCAAAGACCTTAGAATATCGTACTAGATTACTTTATAAGTGTTTACAACCGTAACTATTTTTTTAATAAATAAACTAGCGTCGTTATACAAGATAACATATCTAACTGTCTAAACTTCATTTATTAAGTAATAGCAAAAAACCAAATATAAAAATTATTTTCGTTATTCTCGCATTATTATGAGATATGTGAACATACTGAAATTATTCAAATATAGTTGTATATAAATATGCTTTATCTATTTTATAGGTTTTCTACAATGTAACTTATATTAAAATAAAAATACTGGAGTATTTTGAAAAATATTATTGCTTCAAAAAATATAGTTATTTTTTTTAAACTTATATTGAAATGTATAAAAAATAAGAAATTTAACACTTAATTATATTTTATCCTTCTATATACTAATAAAGTCTATTCAATTATACTTTAGTTTTGAATGGATTAATAAATATTTTATAGCATATTTTTTTTTTTTTTAATATATGAGGAAGTTAAATTCTCAGGGAATTAAAAAACTATTATCTAACGAAAAAATTAATTGAAGATGTAATTTGCAAATTAAACAAATAAGTAATAAAATATTTCAAATTTTATATAAATTACTTTTATTTACATGGTAAGCTTAAATTTTAACGTAAAAATGCACAAACAAATATGTTACTTACCTTTTATGAAAACATGTAGAAGTGGTTATTTGATTTACATTCAATTATTGGTATTTTAAAAAAATTTTTATTTTTAATTCAAAACTGCAAGTTGATATTTTATGAAGTTTAATTTAATTAAAAACAAACTGACATTATATCATATTTCAATAAAAAATACAACTGTAACCAATCTTAAACATAATGTTTATTGTTATTTTTTTATTCTTTGCTTAGTACCATTGTACTCGACTTATGTAGTGTCAATACATAGTATTTAGTAATGTAATATTTACATAATTGAGTATTAACTCCGTAATGACTAATTTAACAAATATGCATAATATAATTATCTTTGAAAACATAACAAACGTATGGTAAATATTTCTTCATCAATAATAATTATTTTCATATAAATTGAAAATGTACTATTTTACTGACTGTGGGTGTATATATATAAAAAAAAATTATTTATTGCAATGCAAAAAACAAGTTTTAGTTATAGGTTTTTTATAATATTAATCTACGACAAAACAAATTATTTAGACTTTTTTATCATATCTAGAGGGTCCGTGAGAACAATATACACAAATCTAATTAATAAAATAAATGAGTAGGTAGGTAAAACTTTTGAGCCAAAATATAATTTTTCTATACATTTATAAATGTCAAGAAAAAACGTAAAAGCTGTCTATTTTAAAAATTATTTCTCACTGGAAATACTGGCAACACTGGTAGCTAATCCGTTGAAGAAAAGAGTAATAACAAATTATATTATTCTTTTTCAAGTCACCGGCAATTAAATGTCGAGCAACTAAAAATGCACATTTAATACTGCAACTCTACTAGGTTATATAAGATGTCCCATCCTGATTTACTAATTTTAACAGTAGTTTATATAGTAAAATTAGTAAGTCACGGTGGGACCTTCTGTATAATCTCACTGTTTTTATATTTAAATACCCTAAAATAAAAATATTAATTATTTTAATTTGAGTTATTTTGTTGTACAATAATGCTGACAGAAATTTATTAATTTATTTATTTTTCTCAGACAAAAATTTCTGTAACTAAAAAGAATTAAAAATTCTTTTAAATTTCATATTGTGAACCGTCAAAATATAATAATAATTAAAAATATGAATTGGAGTACATTTATTTATTAAATATAATTATATAAGTTTAACATTATTCAATTCATAGGTAGCCCTAATTTTTACAAAGAAATGTTTCCTTTTGTTTTTGTAACTCCTGTAAAGTATAAAAAAAAAAAAAGTGTAATAAAAACAAATGTATTTATATATACATTAATATAAAATATATCATTAAAATTGTTACCAACCAAAGTTTGTAAGTCTTGTTTTATATGTTTTCTTTGTTTTTTTAATATTCTTTGTACTAACGGTGTGAACAAATCTAGATCGATGACTTGATTTGAATTATAAAATACCGCACTAATAATCAAACTAGTAATAAAAGTTACAAAGAAGCCTATGCTAATGTAATACATGTAACTTATTCGGTAGATATAGAAATAATTTTCATCTGGCCTTACACTAAAAACAAAATTAAATAAATATTTATTCAATCCTCTAAAATGTTTTATTTATTACTTTGTATTTGTCAAGGTTGAATTTAACACTGTAGTAACAGTTTGATTAAATAATGAACATCCATATGTATTTCTGTGTAAAAATTTGACAGGTGGTTTTGGTCCACCGAAACCAATAATAGAAGAAAGTATCAGCCCTATAAGAAGACCAGTTAATGTGCCCTGAAAATAACATATTTGCATAAAGCTTCATGATGTATAATCGACAAATAAATTCAAATAACCTTTTCATTTGCATAAGGTACAAACATTCCTAACGAAAACACAGCCAAAATAGGACCACCAAACACTGATATCAAAACTACAGACATTTGCAAAAGTGATCCAAAGTATTTGATGAAGAACCCCAATATTATAAACCCAATTCCATAAGCAACAACTAACAATTTTAAGTAAAATACTTTTTTTTTATCGGTTAACTCATTTTTCACTAAAGGCTAGAAAATAATTACACTTTGTATTTTATAATATTTAATCCTAAGTTTATAAGTAAAATAAAAAAAGGTTTATACTTTTATGTAATCTTCTAATGAAATAGCAGCCATTGAATTAATAACTGGCGATACAGAACTCAATCCTGACGATAGTACACCAGCAACAAATAAGCCTGTCATTCCTGGAATGTTTCCCATTGTATCCATCACATATAATGATAGTAATTGATCATCTTTTGTAATACGTCCAGATCTTAAATTTTATTTTAAATTTATTGCGTGAGCTTATTTTATAAGAATCATGTATGTATACTTAAATAATTTAACTACTTGACTGGATCACAATTATGGTATTTTGAATAAATAGCCAAGCCAGTGAAACATTTTGTATATGATATTATTAATAAAATTGGTAAACTAAGCCAAACGCATTTGATTGCTGATGTTTTGTTTTTCATGGTAAGATATTTTTGAACTTGAGCTTGATTTATTCCATTATTTAATAAAAATAAAAAAAATCCTCCAGAAACCAAACTAAACCATGAATGTCTTTCTATTGGATCTATATTAAAACTGAAATTATAAAGCAAAATGTTCAATTTCTCAATAATCTATCAATCATAATATTGTAATTTGTCTAAGAATTATTTTTATTAAGTTAACCATTAAAATAATCAGAATTTTTGAAATAAGACATGTCCCTGCAGCCAAATGGAGGTAAAATTTGTCATTAATTTTAGTAAGTAATTTTTGACATAATATGTAAAATTTTGTCGATAAAATATAAATTCTAAATATGTACTTAGTTAATTCGATACGGCCATCTTTTTCAGCAATATTCCATATTTCTGATAAACTACCGGCTTCATATATTGCAACTGCAATAACAGCTAATATTGAGCCTAAAATAATTATTACCTGCAACATATTAAAATATATATTAAATGCATGTACAAATTTTCAAAGACAATAATTAATGATTTTATTACTTGAAACATGCTTGTTACAATAATTGCTTTGATACCTCCAATTGTTGAGTAAAATATACATACTAAACCAACCAAAACTATGGAAAACTCAAGAGAAAGACCAACTATAGTTTCTAAAGCCAGTGCTGGAGCGTATAGCATCATTCCCATGTAAATAATAGTTTGGATACTGAATGATAGAGATATAATAGTCCTCGTAAGACTTCCAAACCTTTTCTCTAAATACTACAATAAATAAATTTTACACTGTATGTCGTTTTGACAGATATTAAACAACTCAATGATGTTCGAAAAATTAGCTATGAACCTTATATAGAGTGTTCAGTAAATAAGGAAACGGTCTTCTATTGTTTTCACTGTTTGTAACAATCGACCTGTGTCCTACTTACTGAACACTCTGTATATATTTACACTCTGAGTTTACATAAAATTTTGTAAAATTTATTAAATTTTTTCTGATTAAAATTTCTAAGTCATATAACAGCTTAATAAAGCCTTGGATAATAGTTTTAATGAACATTTTGTTATATCGGTGCCATTAAAAGCACTGAATTAAAAAAATTTTTAGCCCAAAACTAAAGTTATAGCTGATTGCTCTTTAAGTAGCCTTAAAATTATGATAGCAAGCAGGAACATATTGAGTATCATTATTCTCTTACAAGTGCATATGTCTATAGTTTTAACTCTTTTTAATACCACTTTTTTTCTATAAAAAGTATTTAGTCAGTTTTAGGATAAATATAATTATCATATTTTAATCTATTATTTTACAAGTTTATATTCTTATTAGTTTAGATATTTATAAGATAATTATACAAGAGTATAATTTTTAAATTAATACTTGTTCATAATTGTACTAAAATCACAAATTTACACGAAGAACTTTTTATCGAATGAATTATTTTCGTGAACCCGACCAATGTATTAATCAAAACAGAATATGATTTTGTTTGTTTGATATAATAATGTCATAACATAAGAATTGTCATTTTTGAGTTATTTGCGAATTATAATAATATTATTTTCTTTCTTTATACTGGTAAAATGGCACAGGTGAACATACCAAAATAACCATTAGTGATAGTTGTGACGTTGTATGATATTATTGTCATTATAATTTAAAATACTTATATTAATTCCTACTTTTATAATGGTAATATTGTTGTAGGTGAGAACTGAACGTAGAAAAGAAGTTATTAAAATATTCATCTTTCATTAAAATAAGTTAGTAAAGGAATATCAAATTTAAACATAATTTGTCATAATCTTATTGTAAATTTAATTTTTAATTAGTTTTGTGTAAAAAAATCTTTATTTTTTTTATAATATCTTTATTATGGCAAACAAACGATTTATAAATAGCTCATTCATAATTTATTTATAATTATTTTTAAAGGTATCTCAAGTTTCAATTTATAACTGCAGTTTAATAAATTTAAAGAGAATTGATAACTAATATCTAATCTTTTATAACATATTAAGACAACCATTATAATTTAATACTATTTTTGTTTAGTATTACTTTTAAAAAATAACACGATAAATTGTTTTATTCGTTATAAATTTATAAGTCTATTTAATGAAAAAAAGAAATAATTTTCTTATATAATTATTCTTGCATCAGCATAAATAAGTTATATATTTACTTCGTTAACGGAGAGTTTTCCAACTTTCAAAAATACAGGTAGGAAAACATAAGCAATTACTGGTGTTCCAATAATATACCCAACATATAGTATAACAAACTGTGTGCCATGTGTATAAATTTCTGAACTTCCGCCAAACAGAGATGTTGAAGATGTATACATGGTCAATAAAGAAAATGCAACTGGTATAATACTTTGGTTTTGGTTACCCATCATGTATTCCTAAAAAAAAAAAAAAGAAGAATACCTTGGGAATTTTAGACAAATTCTAGTAGTATTTAGAAAATTATACTTGAGTAGTTTTTTGTTTGCCGCCTGTAAATCGATAGTAAATGCCAATGGCAGAAGATATAATGATTATTAAACTAAAAACTATGAAATCCACTACGCCAAACGCCATAATTATAATACTTTTGTTGTTTTTGTATTATTACCTGAAATTGTAGATTAACTTTTTCAAAAAAATCATAGTAGCAGTTAAAATTCAATTTAGTTTCTTAAATTCTTACAGACTAGAACTAAATAATCTCATTGCTGTTATTTAATCATTTAAACACGACATAATTAAATTATTTATATGGCTTAGAAAATAATAAAATTATATTTTATATTATTTATATATATGTATACAAATAGGTACCTGAAAGTAATTGAAAATTTTTATCTTGCTAATTGAAAGTGTTATTTATTCATTTTTAATGTCATGGATGGAAATTATATTATAGTAAATCTTAGTTAAATTTCAAGACAAACAAAACACGACTGATGTCTAGTTTTTTGAAGTTGTTAATTACAATAAAGATCTCTTGACATGTATCTCCTACTTTATACTGTATAGTAAAATTAGTTAACCATGGAAAAAGTTGTATAGACAAAATAATTATTCGTCGGTTAATGAAATAAAAGTTTTAAAATGTATTACTAATTGATGAGTTAAAATCTACATAGTTTTTGAATAAATTAAGATCCGTCTAGTCGGTATTTAAATATTAAGATTTTTTAAGAACACAGTAACACAAAATTTATTACTAAAAGTGAAACATTTTTACAAGCTTACACTATAAAAATATCATGCTTCAAGTAAAGTATATATTTCTATTGAAAGAAATTTAATACGCTTAGATTTTTCAGAATTATAATAAAATATTAACTTTAAATGATTATGTTAAAAATAATATATTTATACTATATTTAATTTTACGGTCTTTAATAGATAGCTAAGAATGTATATATTTCTACAAACTGAACATCAATTTGTCAGAATAACTACTTTATAAGATATTTGAGTTAATAATGTTAAAAATTATGTATTTATCAATTAAGATTCATCATAAGGAACTATTTTTTAATTTAATATGGCTTAATATCAAAAAGTTAAAATACAATTTTTTTGTAGAATTTAATGAATTCATAATTAGAATTATCGGGAAATACTTTATTGAATTTTATAGTTTTATGAAACAATTACTCCAATTTTTTAAATGAAAAATCACTAATAAACTCAATGTACTCAACATAAATTAAAAAATCATCTTCATAAATTTACTGAATACTAAATAGAAATATTTTAGATATTTTTCATTATTTCTTTTAATTGGGTATTCATTGTGAAAATTAGTTTAGTTGTATCTAAATACTTACATCTTAAAAACTTGTAAACCCTTCAATTTATAAACTAATTGACAAACTCTTGACAAATTTATACCATAGTTATCTTTTGTAATAAAAAGTATAAAGGTAGTTATATTCGGTTTACGTAAACTTTGTAACGTTATAATTTCGTTACATTTTGTGACTTGAAGCTCTTCAAATGACTATCACTTTGCTTAATAATTATTTGTTTATTTATAACATTACGGACAATAGCCAAAAAAATACAATATGTATTTGACAGCATATTGATCAACTT